GCTCCCGGGGTGCGTGGCCTCCGGTGCCCGGGCAGAGCTGCCGCCCTCCGCCTGGTGTAGCGAGGACTCGCTCACGGCCTGCTGCTCCCCATTAGGACGGCGGTGCTCCAGGGCAGGGCTTGTCCGTGTTGGTCCCTGCTGTGTCCTCCGGGCACTCGGCACCCAGAGGACACGGAGCGGGCGAAGGAGAGGAGTGAGTGGCAGAGAGAAACAGCCATCAGTTGCCTCCTGCACTGATCGCTCTGAGTTACGGGTGAGCAAACAGAGGCTCCTCCACAGTGAAGGCCGGAGGGAACGTGTGGGTCTGGCAGGTCGCACACGGCTTCTGTCCCTTGTCTCCTTCACAGCCCTTTACAACGGACTTGGCCCTTTTTTCCCAAGATCACCTCCCCAACAGAGCCTTTAGACATTTTTCCCTAATCATTTCACCCCAGGAAATTTTAATATCTGCTAAATAGATATTATTATACCTATATATGCAGTGTGTCTGTATCCATACATAGATTTATATTTTATACATAAAAAGAGCAAAATCCTCTAATCCTTTTATATCGCCCCCAAGAACCAATATTTGCCCCACTGAGAATGGGCAGACTCAGACAAGGGTCCCCTCCTTGGCACTGCTGAGCTGTGGGCCGGTCACTTTGTGGGGGGGCTGCCCTGGACACTGTGGGGTGTTGAGCAGCGTCCCTGGCCCCCCTCCCTCGATGCCAGGAGCATGCCATTGTGACTGGCACAGACTTTTTTCCAGACATCACCCCTGGGGGCCAGCATCACCCCGGTGAAGAGCCTCTCTGCTAGGCAGGCAACTTCTGATCTCACCTTTGGGAAATGGGCTCGCTGAGCTGGGCCTCAGTTTACCCACTCCATCCACTGGGTGGATTTAATCGGATGGTTCCAGGAAGCCCTTAGCACGGCGGGAGCCCGGATGCCGGGGCGTTGGACACCAGCCAGCCTCTAGGCGTTATCTGCTGTGGGTGCATCTGTGCGGACGGGAGGAAGATGCGTCGCAGGGCTGGGTGTCCGAGCACAGGGGAGGAGAGGAACGCTCTGTGCCTTCCCTCCCGTTTTCCACGGAACACCCGCCCGCCCGGAGCGGCTCCGCCCGCGGAATGGCAGGGACGCTGCAGCGTTCAGCTCCGGCCAGTTCGGTCGCCACCAGCACGTTCGCGTGGCTGTTGGGGACGGGAAGGTGACCAGTGCCACCGGTGTTCAGAGATTCTGTGTTCAATGCGTTTCATTTCAATGCAAAGTCGCACGTGGTGAGTGGCTCTCCTGTAGACGGCTCTAGACGCTGACCCGATGACAGGCGAGCGGTCAGCGGGCGGGTGGGTGGGACACGTTTTGAGGTTTCAGTCATGACTAGACATGAGATGGCATCCTGAAAGGGAAGGAGGTCCTGGCCCAGGCCGCCCCGCCAACGGGCCGGAGAGCAGGTGCTCAGGGAGGTGAGCCAGGCGCAGGACGGGCACCGTGTGGTTCCGCCCGCGTGGTCTGTCTGAGAGGAGTCCACGTCGCACACACAGAGCCGTGGTGAGTGCCGGGCTGGGGCGGGGAGCCCTGTGTAGTGGGGACAGTGTCTATTTGGGAAAAGGAGGGAGTTCTGGATGCGGACGGCGGGGATGGTTGTACAACACGGTGAAGTAGGTAATCCCGCTGAGCTGTGCGCTGAGAAATGGTTAAATGTTATGTGAGGTTCTTCACCACAGTCTGAAAGTTAAACGTAAGAATACTTTCATGAGATAGCATATACGTACATCACCGTATGATTAAGGAATTGTACTTGTTTAAGTTAAAGAAACATTTCCCAGGACCGTGGAAAAGGAAGCGGTCTCCTCACCCGAATAAAGGGACCCGCAGAGACGCACGGCTGACGTCAGGCTCGCGGCGAGGGCTCGGGAGCGAGGGGAGGGCACCACCGCCGCCCGCCGCTCGTTACCATTGCGCCTGAGGGCCTGGCCCGGGCAAGAAGGCGAGAAAAGGAAGTCGGAGGCGTGCAGATTAAGAAGGAAAAAATAAGACTGTTCCTATTTTATTTGCAAAGGACAGCATGGTTTACATAGAAAATCCCAAGGAATTAAAAAAATAAAATAAAATAAAGCTTTTTGCCCTAGCTGGTTCGGCCTGCAGACTGAAGGGTCCCAGGTTTGATTCCAGCCAAGGGCACATGTCCTGGTTCCAGGCTCCATCCCCAGTAGGGGGCGTGCGGAAGGCAGCCAATCAATGATTCTCTCTCGTAATTGATGTTTATCTCTCTCCCTTCCTCTCTGAAATCAATAAAATATATTTTTTAAGAAAATAAAGCTTTTAGAACTAAGAAGTAGACTCAGCAAGGCTGCAAAATACAGGGTTAACACACACACACAAAAAAAAACAACAATCGCACTTGTAAATGCTAGCAGTGAACAGTTAAAAACAAAAGTTAAAAACGCAGTATTATTTATAACCTGTCCCCAAACTTACCGTGTATTGATTGGCAATTTGATGGCAACGGTTTTACACTTCAAATTAGCTAACTGGGTGACTCAACCAACCCTGGGAGGTGGGGGTCTATCATCTTGCCCATTTCACAGATGAGGAAACTGAGGCTCAAAGCGGTGGTGAGGCTGGCCTGAGGTCACAGAGTGAATGGACAATGAGACAAGGTTCCGACGAGAGCCAGCCATAGCCTGGCACCATCGCTTCTGATGGCTACAAAGCCTCCCCGGCACAAACAGCCGAGCTGGTGATAACTGTAATGAGGCTCCTCCTCCGTCTGATGAAGCGCTCACTACACACCAGCCTTGGTTTGGGGCACTTTATTGTGGCCTTGTCACCTTTTCCCCGACGAACAGCCTTCAGGGGAGGTGCTGTGGTTGTGCCCATTTCACAGATGAAGAGAGTGAGGCACAGAGAGAGGTGAGCATTGTCCCGGCGGCCCGCAGCCTTGTCTGCCTGGTTCCAAAGCCACAGCACAGAGGCGGCGCTCAGGAAACATGCCCGGGCCGGAGTGTGGGCCAGGCGCTGCTGCCTGCCGAGCCCACGTGGGCACCCGTTCTGGAAGAGGGTCCCGTGCCCGAGGCCCGGAGCCCGACGGATGAGTGCCCGGGCTGGGCACTTCCCAGTGGAGCGGCCGCCGTGCCCAGCCGCGGGGCCATCCAAGCGGGACTGGCCGGCTCCGAGGGGCTGCTGGCTGCCCGACCTGGAAGTGGCCACAGGGCTCAGGGCCGAGCCGGGCACGCTCCCCTCGGCTGCTGCCCAGCCATGCCCAGCCCAGTCGGCCACGGCCGGGGCTGCAAAGGCAAGTCAGGAAGGAGCTGCCCCCATCCATCCGTGGGTGGGAAACTGAGGCACGGGGCCTCGGGCAGGCGCCTCCGTCTTGGCAGCCAGTAGGTGCACAGCACACAACGTGCGCAAAGCCGAGAGCACGGCGCCCGGCAAACAGCGGGAGCTCGTGACTGTTTTAGGAAGTGTCGCCGTTATTGTGATCGCCATGACAACACGGAGGGAGCAGAGGCCCCAGGAGGGGAAGTGACCTCGCCACGACCACACCTCCTCGAGGCTCCCAGACGGACGGCCCCGGAGCCAGATGGCTCACGCACGCGCAGTGTCGGGCGGCTGGCCACCTGCCCAGACGGAGGAAGAAACACAGTTGACCCTTGAACAACTCGGGTTGGATCCACTCCTACACGGGATTTCTCCCAGTAAACACTGGACATGTGTGTCTTCTGTCCTTTAGGCCTTTTTGAACGCCCTTTTCTCTGGCTTTCTGTATCGTGGCAGCGCAGTATGTCGCCCAGATAACGGACGAAAGACGCGTCAGGCTGTTTATGTTATCGGTCAGCTTTCTAGGCAACAGGAAGCTGTTAATTCAGTTTTGGGGGGGAGTCCACTGTTACCAGGATTTTTAACAACGCTCCTGACCCCCACACTGTGTGAGGTTCAACTGTGGCCCTCGTCACAGGGCACGCGGGGCGTGGGGTGGGCACCTTTCCGTCGTTTTAGCCGTGTCCCTTGCCTGTGGAATGGGCACAATGACAGTGCCAGCTTGGCGGCCGTCTTAAGGATTTGAGGGAACGTGTAAAATGGGAGCAGCAGTCTCTGCGGTCGTGTTGGGGGTTTTAAACTAACGATGGCCATAATGAGGACGTTACCACGTATGCGCGAGTGCTTCCTGCGTGTTATCCCCCGTCACCTCCTCGCAACCCAGCCAGGCCGGGCGGTGCTCGCGCCTGTGAAAGGAGAAAACAGAGCAGTGACACGGCGACTGCTCCCGGCTCCGGGCACGGCAGGGGCAGCGGGTGTGGGGCCGGGTCCCCCTCTCTCTGCCGTTTGATTGATTCCCAGCACCTTTCTGGGAGACGGAGGGCGGGTCCTGGGTCCTGTCCAGCTGGGCTGGGCCCCGGGCCCCCCGAGCCCGGTGCTGAGTGGCTGTGGGGCTGCAGAGGGAGCTGGCGTGATCGCCCTCCGTCCAGGCCACCGGAGCCGATATCGCTGAGCTCAGCGTCTGCCTGCTACCGGCAGCCATGGAGCCTGATTATTTTTAGATAAGTGGATGGGCGAGTGCTGGGGTGGGGGTAGCCCACAAGCCAGGCAGTGGGTGGGGCCACTGCGGCTGCAGAGGGATGCCCCTCGGCCCCCTCTCTGGGGACCCTTAGTAGCACCCCAAGACTAAGGGCTGAGCGCTTAGGACTTTAAGGGCAGAGGCCGAGAGGAGTGGGCCCCAGGGCTCAAAAACTCACCTCTCTGGCCTCGGTTTCCCCATCTGTCAGCTCCTAGGCTGCGGCGGGGTTAAATGAGCTCACCCTGTTTCACAAATGGGGAGACCGAGGCTCAGGGGGAGAGCTTCTCGCCCTGCGTGAGGCCGCGTTCTAGCACATCGAGAGCCCGGGCACCGGTGCGGTGTCTGCAGGTGCCCGGCCGGACGTCCATGACCCTCTGGGGCAGCGGCCGTGGGAGGGAGGGGCCTCGCGAAGACCCCAGGGCCACCCGGCATCACCTACTCCTTCCTGTCTTGGCAGACGCAGAGCAGAGCGGCAGTCCCCGGGCCGGGATGGGCTCTGACCAGGAGGACAGCAAGCCCATCACGCTGGGTGAGTGTGGGCACGGCCCAGCCTCTACTTCACTTGGGGATCGTTTTCTGAGCGCACCCCGCCCCCGTGCGCTCCGGTGGCTGTGTGCGCGCCTGGTGCTCGTGAACCGCTCGTGAACCCTTCACTCCTCCCAGCTCTGCAGCAGGGAGCTGCTGGGTTGTTCCTTTTTGAAGTGAGGAAACTGAGGCTCAGAGGGGTCAAGGGGCTGGCTGCCCAGGGCCACCTGGGCTCCAAGGCACTCGCTCCACCCACGAGAGAGGCCCTGGGCACCCGCATCCCGTGGGTGTTTAACAATAAATAGGAAAGTCAGGTCTGTGTTGGGGGGTGGGAAGTGGGAGGATTTGCCTAAAGCAGGGCTGGGCGCAGAGCCCTGGAGAATGGAAGGGATTTGGAAGCTGCTTCTGCCCTGCCTCCCCCCCCCCCACCTCACCCCACCCTCCAATCCCGAATCCCACAGTCTGTCCTCCCCAAAGAGGCCAGAGAGCGCCTGTGAGCACCTGAGTTAGGTCCCCCCCTCCTCTGCCCAAAGCCCCCTCCCCACTCCCACTTTGGGAGGAGGCTGAGCCCAAGTCCTTCCCACAAGGCCCCCACCCAGCCTACCCGTCCGCTCCCTGCTCTCCCCTCTCTCCCTCGCTCCCTTCCCTCTTCCCTCACTTGCTCTGTCCCAGCCACACGGGGCTGCTCCTTGTTCTCCCAACATGCAAGGCGCGATCCTGGCTCAGGGCCTTGGCGTGTGCTGTGAGCTCTGCCTGGGCCGCCACCCGCTCTCTCGCTTTCTCCAGGCCCCCCAGGCCTCCGCTCAGGTGCGCCTCCGCCCAGGCAGCCTCGGCCCTTGGGATCGGCCACCCCCTCTGCTTTGTTCCCCAGAGGAAGTTGGTGATTGCCTATGTGTTTGCTCCCTCCCCTCACGGAGCACCACCAGGGCAGAGGTTTTTGTCTCTCTTGGTTACCATTGTGTCCTCTGTGCCGAGAATACTGACTGGTACACAGGAAGCTACTCGACAAATATGTGTAGAGAGGAAGAAAGGAGGAAGGCAGGTATGAAGCAGAGAGAAAAAGAGAAACTGGAGAGATTGGGAGGAGGGAGAGAGGGAGGGAGGGAGGGTGACAGGGAGGGAGGGAGGAAGGGCGGGCGGGCCAGTATCTGAGGGCATCATGCCCATTGGATGTACCGGCCCAGCCATGCCCACGGAGGCCGGCTGCTTCCAGGAGGTTCCCAGGCCGCTCCTCACTGGCCATCTGTGGCCAGAGTCCTCCCTGGCCTCCTGGGATCCCGGGGCCTCCTTCTCACTCAGACGTGCAAGGCCGCCAGGCAGCTGCACGCTCTGGCCTGGTCCCCTGAGGAGCTCCGTCTGGCAGAGGAAATCACTTCCTCTCCCCCCGCCGGGGAGTCCCCTGGAGATGGAGCCAGACAAACAGGAAACCCCGATGCTGGGAGGGCAGGGGGCCTGCGGACACCAGCTGGCCAGTCGAGTGGGCAGGAAGCAGCCATGGCCACTTGCCCTGGACGCTGGGGGTCCACCGCCCTGTCCTTCCTCTGGGATGGGGTGACCCTGTGGTTCCCAGCGTGATAACAGGTGCTCACTAAATGGGGCTCAGAGCCTGGAATCAGGAAGGCTGCGGTTCCTGCACGGTTCGGGGCGTGGGCCCGCTGAGAACAGCACCACAGAACACACACACACACACACACACACACGCACACACACCGCACACCACACATACCACACACACACACAGCCTAGCGATTCCTGCCTTCCCACCCCATGCCCTTTCTGACCACTCTCCCAGGAGCGAGGCTGGGGGCAGAGCCCTGAAGGATGGAAAGGATTCGAAAGCTCCCTTCACTCCAGCCCTGTTGGCCTCCACCTTGCCAACTGTGTGTTCCGACCCCAGGGCCTTTGCACGGGCCATGCTTGCCACCAGGAACTTCGTGGCCCCCGGGGAAGGAGGTGGTGAAACATCAGTTAGGACCATCCCGACCGGAGCAGCCAGCACGCACAGGGCAGCTCCCTGTGCCATGTGCTCTTGTTCTGGGCGCTTCCCACATGGGAACTCCTGTGTCCCGAGGTACCCCGAGGTCTCAGTGAAATGTGCCCTCCCTGTGAGGCTTTCTCTGAGCCTGTGTGTCAGAGAGGCCCTTTCCCAGGAGCTTCCTCACCCCTGCCCGCCCTCCCCCTGCCTGACACACCTCACGCTGGACTTAGGGGTAGTGACATTTTTTCTATTGTGATACACTACACCCAAGAAAAACTTTATCATTTTAACCCGATTAAAATGTGCATGCAATTCAGTGGCATTACGTACATTCACAGTGATGTGTGACCATCACCACTATCTAGTTCCAGAACATTCCATCATCTCAGAAGAAATTCATTCCCCCTTAACAGTTACTCCCCACCCGCTCCACGCCACCCCCAGCCCCAGCGCCTGGCAACCACAAACTCACTCGTCTCTGTGGATTTGCCTGTTCTGGACATTTTATACAAAATCAGCCGCACCGTATGTGGCCTTTTGTGCCTGGTTACTCTCACTGAGCACCATGTTTTCAAAGTCCATCTGCATCCTTTTTTCCAGCTGAGTAACATTCTGTTGTCTGGATGGGCCCCGGTTATCCATTCATCCACCAATGGGCACCGAGTTGGGCGGTCAAGCGCCATGCTGCTGTGAACATCTGTGTGCACACCGGCCCAGCCCGGAGGGCAGCGCTCCTTCCTCTGACATTGGGTGGCAGTGGTTCTGGGGCCGCAGGATTTTACCTTTTGTCTGTGGACCCTCTATTCAGCCTGCGGTCTGAGCCTTTTTGCCAGGCTCTGGCCAGGGACCAGGTGGGGCCTGGGCAGAGAAACCCCCGCCCTTGTGAAGCCCCCAGACTGGAGGGAGAAAGAGACTGAAGGACAGCATTGCCTGGGGTGGTGACTGAGACAGAGCGAGCAAGCCTACCCTCCTGGGCAGTTCGGTTCATAGCTCTCAGCCACCGGACAACAGGGTGTACGGGCCCAATTTTCAAGATTAGGGAGTATAGAGGGGAAGGGGTTTGCCCAAGATCACCGCCGAGTGGGTGACTGAGCCGAGATTTGGACCTGGGTCCGGCCTCTGCTTACAACCTACTGTGGCTCCGAGAGCCCCAATGAAGATGAGGCTGGTTATGGGGCCCCCAGAGAAGGGGAAAGTGGATGCAGATGTTAAAGAAAAGAATGTCCCTCCAGCTGTGCAAGGGTAACGGGACTCTGCCACCTGGCTGGAGTGGCTTAGCTGGATAGCCCCACCTCTGCAGGGCTGCAGGAGTGGAGGGGTGACTACTCAGGCTGGGTCCAGCCCCCTGAGTCGGGGCAGTGCTGGGGTGTTGAGGAGGGATACAGACACACTGACACCCATTATCCCTTTTCCAGACACAACTGACTTCCAGGAGAGCTTTGTCACCTCTGGTGTGTTCAGTGTCACCGAGCTCATCCAAGTGTCCCGGAGTGAGTAACCCCATCCACCCCGGCTGGGACCCGGATAGGGGAGGGGCTGATACAGAGGGAGGGCGATGGAGAGAAGAAGGGACTTCGGGATGGAGGCTCCGAGAGGGAAAGCATCTCAGGAAAGGGGAAGGAACCCACCCGCCCCTCTTCTTCCCCTTGTGCTCTCCAGCTACCTATCCACAAGCCAAGGGTCCTAGGAAGGGCAGTATCCAGGCCCTTCCCGGAGCCCCAGGTCAGGGTGGCATGCTCCTCCCCAGGAAATAGAATCCATATGCTGGGGGGAGGGGCTGAAGAGCCTTCTTCCCAGCATCTCTCTTCCCTGGAGGGCTCCCCCGACACACACACACACACAATTTGCTTCCTGCCCCCTTGTGTTCCCTATGAACTTACTGTGGGGACTCACCCCTCTCTCTCAGACACCCCCATTTGAAGTCCACCCCAGGGAGTTTTGCTTAACCCTGACCACCATTTTCCCATCCAGATCAGCCTCTGGGAGTGCTGGAAAGCTTGGTCTCCAGCCCCGGCTATGCCTCTGCCTCACAGCACAACCTTGGCTTCTCTTGATGGCCTGGCCGGGGGGGGGGGGGGGGGGGGGGGGGAGCGGCAGGGGGGGGGGTTAAACTATTAAATAAAGCCAGTTCTGGCCAAATTAAGAACCAGGCCAGTTTGGGAAGGGGCTCTCTCCACCCCTCTAGGGCAAATTGCAGTCCTGTACATCCTCATTCCCCTCTCTGTCACTCTCTGCAGCACCTGTGGTGACTGGAACCGGACCTAACTTCTCACTGGGTGAGCTGCAGGGGCACTTGGCATATGACCTGAATCCAGCCAGCACCGGCATGAGAAGAACGCTACCCAGCACTTCCTCCAGCGGGTATGAGCCTAGGTCCCCATCTCCGGACATTTCATGACCCCTTTGCCCTCCATTACCTGGCCCCAGCTGATTCATTCCTCTCCTTGGAACGCCTGCTTTCCTGGTCTACTTGGGAAATGCCTACTCATCCTTCAGAACCCAACCCCAAGTGCCTCTTTCCCCTGACATCCCACTCTGGGCTTGAGGCCTACAGGCCCAGACCTGGAGACTCCATGGGAATGAGTCTCCTGCTGACATGTGCTGTGTGACCGTGACTGGTCACATCTATTTTTTTTTAAATATATTTTATTGATTTTTTTTTACAGAGAGGAAAGGAGAGGGATAGAGAGCTAGAAACGTCGATGAGAGAGAAACATCGACCAGCTGCCTCCTGCACACCCCCTATTGGGGATGTGCCCGCAACCAATGTACATGCCCTTGACCAGAATCGAACCTGGGATCTTTCAGTCTGCAGATCGACGCTCTATTCACTAAGCCAAACCGGTTTCAGCTGGTCACATCTATTTTGCCTCTGTGTCCTCCTCTGTAAAATGGGATCATAATCCTGCCAGTTGTTCAGAGGACTGCAGTAGGCCAAGTCACCAGCCAGGCCTCAGGCCTTTGGTCAGCCCTCTGCTCGCTTCTTGCCATGTGACCTCAGTGGGGTCCCTCCCTCCCTATGGCCCCAAGTGTCTCCTCTAAGCAATAGGCAGGTTGAAACAGGTGTTAACAAAACTGCCTGCAAGTTTGGGGCTTCTTTGAGGTCTCGCGAGAGCATCCTCCACGCCCCGCCCCCTCGGGGCCGGAAGTTACAAAGCCCGTCGCCTCCGCCCGCGTCTCCGTGGTAACCGGCCTGCGCTCTTCTTCCCTCGCCCCTTAGGAGCAAGCGGCACAAATCGGGCTCGATGGAGGAAGACGTAGACACCAGCCCCGGCGGCGATTACTACACCTCGCCCAGCTCTCCCACGAGTAGCAGCCGAAACTGGACGGAGGACATGGAAGGAGGTGGGGCTGGCGGCGGTGTGGGACGGCCTTCCGGTCGGGGTGACGCGGCGGGGACTACGTATTCCGGCAGGCGCTGCTTGCTTGCCCGGGAGCGGGAAGCAGGCCTGGATCCGCGAGGCCTCCCGGGAATTGTAGTCACGCGGCTGCGCGCAGCTGGAAGTCAAGTCCGGGCTCAAGTTCCCAGGGCTTTTTGGTTCCGCTCAGGCAGGCGGGGATAAAGGGAGTCCCTCTCACGCCTGACTTTCCTGCTCTCTGCCCTTCAGGGACCAATCTTTGTGGGGTTTCCAATCGTTAGAATTGACTCTGACGCTTCTGATCAACAAGGTGTTTCTTCTAAGCGTCTGCCATAGACCTCACCTGAGATGTAGGATCCCTGCTCACTGGGGTCCTCTGTGCAATCCTATATTTAAGAGATTCCCATCTCCATGGGGATCTCTCCCCCCCCCCCCCCCCTTGTGTGATTCCAGTTCTCTTTTCTCATAGCGCTCTTGTTCAGGGGGATTTCGTTCAGTTGCCCTTCGTCTTCACAGGAGCCTCTCCAGACTCTTATCTTGCGGTTCCTATGTTATGGTGTCCGCAGTTCCATGGAGTCTCACTTCTGTTGAGCGCTGGCTCCTGGGGATTCTTTGTTTACATAACGTCTCCCCAAGTGCTTTCTCCAAAGAGTTCCCTGGGGAACCAAGATTCTCATCTAAAGAACCCCTTTCACCTTGAGGTTCTCTCCAGTGGGCCAGCATCTGTGGCTCTCAGGAAATGGTGTGCAAAGTGGCCCACAGGCTTGCTTTACCTCCGGGGCAGGCACCCCGGTTCTCAGATTCTTTACAGGGTCTGTGCCCCACCTTCCCTCCCCCCCAATTTTAGAAGCATCGCTCTATCCAGTCTCTTATCCCTTATCAGAAATTCACCCCATGGGTTAAGGGTTATGAATTGGACGCTTGAATCTCCCAGTTCTTAGAGCTTGTGACCCCACCTCTCAGAGCCTCAGTTTCATCATCTGTGAAATTGGGATGTTAATTCATACAGTACCCTACAGGTTGTTGTGGGGACCAAGTGAATTAATACATCTGAGTTCCCTACGACAGACCTGGCACTTAATAAGCACCCAATAAACCTTAGGATGTGTTTTCTCCTCCCCTTCTCCTCTTTTCCTCCTCCCTATCCCTACAGAGTCTGCTTTCTTATAATGATCGGTCCATACCTGTAGGATTCTCGAAAAGCAACATTACAATAACTGTAGGTTCAAATCCCAGCTCTTCCCTTGCTTTGTGGGCTTTGTTACCTTGGGCAGGTAACTTAATCTGATCCTCGGTTTTCTCATCCTCAAAACAAGAGTGATGAAAAACTCCTTCTTCAGAAAGCTGGAAGGAGGAAATGGGAGACTGTGTGTCGAGAAACTCGAGCACATGGCAGGTGTCCAGGAAGCAGAAGAGTTTGTGGTTGCTCAATCTTAAAATTCCCACCTCATTGAATTAGTCTCTTAACACATCTGAGGTCCCAAGTCTCCTCCCCCTTCCACAGTAGGGGCTTCCAGAGCAGGTCCCTAACTCTGGGAGGACCTGTCTCTGTATTATTAGGGTTTAATTTATGGGTCAGAGTGTCTCTATGGTTCTGCCTGTGTGGGTTCCCCGTCTCTATATAAGACGCTGTATTCCATAAGCTTTAGGTTTGATTATGAAAAACAGAAAACTCAAAAGGACATTTACTTGCAAGAGAAAAGTGCCTTTCTCTTGTAAGTCAACGTCCAGCCATTGACAGCCCTAGCAAGTGTGAAGTAAGGGACGTAAGGCTTCTTTGAGTACGATCTTCATTTCCACCTCATAGTCCGAGACAACTGCTGGACCTTCCTTCAGCCGTCATTTCTGCATTCCGGGCAGCAGGAACGGAGAAGGGTCAGGACTGGGCACGTCCTCTCCCTTTAAGAATAATTCTCAGAAGAGACACTTACCTTCTGCGTATCTCTCTGCTCCGGAGTTAGTCATGTGGCCATACCCTGCTACAGGGGACATTGGGAACTGTAGTCTCATTTTAGGCAATTATGTGCTTATCTCAAATGGAGGGGTCCTGAACCTAAGGAAGAAGGGCAGAGCAGATATCAGGCGGTGTCTGCCCTGTTATTACTGATTGGGAACGCAGAGCACTTGTCATTAGCTCTGCGATTGAAGAGGCGGTTTGCATATAAAGTGTTCACTGTTTAGAGCTGAAAGGTGGCCTCTGTGGTGGAGCCGCGGCAGCCCTGAGAGGTACAATTACAGCCTTAAGTCTATTGATTAGGGAAAGAGCACGGTTGCAAATAAAGAACCCAGCTTTTCATTCAGGAAGCTTAAAAAAGAAAAAGTTTTAAACGGAAGGATATGTCCGAGCTAGTCCCTGTGGCTTAGTCTGACTTTCCTGCCCTGCTGGAACGAAGGGCCACCAGTAGGGGAACGAGGTAAAAACCTGCTCGGGCTTCGGCGTGTGATGGGGAATTATGGAGTCGGAAGGGACTGTCACAGGGTGTCTGTCTCCCTCTAGCGTCCATTGGTTGCCTCCAGTGATGGCAAACTCACTCCCTCCTGTGGAGCCTCAGTGAAAAGCCCTGCTGTATGCCTGTGCCTGCCCTGCAGGTGCTCACAGCCAACTGTGGGAGAAGGATTCGTATGTCTCCCCCCCCCCCCCACCATCATCATCATCATCAGTTTTCTCCTCTGGCTTCCTCCAGCTTCCTGTCTAGACAGCCCCCAATTAGCTGCTTGTGAAGGGGATTAAGCTGATTGGAATACTTTCTCCCTTCTGTTGTGGCTGCAAGGGCAGTGCTCAGCTAACCCCTCAACCCCAGCAGCCATCCTCTGTTGCTTGGGAGGTTTGAGGACTGGGGAGATCGTGCCAGCCCCACCAGGCGACACCCCTGCAGCCACACCTTTCAGGCCCCAGGAGCCAGCCTCCAGGCCATTGCCCTTTCCGTGCCTGGGCCCGGAGTGCCCTCTCTCCCGGCCACCTCCTCCTGAGGCCTCCCTGGTTACCCATCCCAGTGGGGCAGAAAGAGGGCACCTTCTGCTCAGCTCCCAGGGTGCTTTGTTTTTGCTGCTGCTTTGGCCCATTCTGGGGACGTAGTCCCTTCACATACATGGTTATCCGAGGAGTGAAGCAAGCAACCCGTCCCCGCCTCTCTCCTCTGCTCCCTGGGCGGCGGAGGGTGGCCTGTGAAATTACAGAGTTGGATTTGAATTCCAGCTCCACCACTTGTTAATAACTCTGTGGCCTTGGGCACGTGAGTTCTGCCATCAGGCCTCAGTCATCATGTGTGTGAGATGGGGGTGACTCCTGTAAGCCCTGCGCGGGGTAGCTGTGAGGATGATGTGAGAGCAGGCTCGGGGGGTCACTCTGCCCCCATCCAAGGCCTCCCTGCGTTGTGTGCTCACTGATGGCTGGTCTGAGCAGAACGAAGTGCTCCGTTCGCCACACACTCTTGTTGGCCACCCTGTGATCGGGGGCGATGGAGACCCCGCAGTCAGCTAGAGCGGACCCCCCCCCAGCCTGTGGCCTCCCTGTGTCACTCCAATAACCCGCAGAGGGGCTGGCACTGCAGCGGGAGCCGGCCTTGTCCACAGCGGGATGCTCAGACAGGAGGGCACGGGCCTGCTTACCCGCTGAAGAGGGTGTGCTTCGGGGGGACAGGCATGTGTGTGCCCTTAAAGGGGTACTCACGCTCGATGGGGACCGGTAGGTGTGTGCTGAGAGAAAGATGGCTGCTCGGATGGGGGTGGTGTGCTACAGGCTAAATGGAGAGGCGGGGCTTAGATGGAGGACACAGAGGGCGTGGTAGCTGATAACAGTGGTGTGAGTGGGGCATTACAGGCCTGGAGCTGAACAAACGGGGGGGGGGGGGGGGGGGGTGAGGGGAGGCCTCGGGAGCCTGTCCAGGAGCACGAAGGGTTATTCTTGCAGCTCCCGCCGGGCTCCCCCTCCCCCATGCCCCGCCCTGCCTCCCAAAGGCCCATCTCAGGAAGCTCAGGGGGCGGGTCCACACCAGGCTATTTCCATCCAGGACAGGCTGTTCTAGGAAATCCTCCTAAGTGAGCATCTGACAGTCCTAACCTGGTTCTGCCACAGCCCGCACCAGCAGAAAGCCTGCCAGCCATCCTCCTGCACACGCGCGGCACACACACACACACACACACACACACACACAGCCTATAGGGCCAGCCGCCTCCTGCCCACAGCCTCCATCCCACCGGCTCCTCCTGCTCCCAGAGAAAGCCCGGCCCTGCCTCCCAAGGCCCTGCCAGCCCCATGCCAGGACTCGCTCACTCAAACCGTGGGGTGCGAAGGGCAGCAGGGCTTGGCTCTCGGATCTGTTCACCCCAAGCGGTGCTGTCGGAGAGGACAGGAAGCTGCCCATGTGGAAATGCCACACGGGAAGGGGTGCGACGGTGTGCTGGGCGGGACAGGCCGGGGAGCGTGTGCAGGAGACCCCACAGCAGTGACAGCGTGCCTCAGAGGAGGGCAGGGCTTCTAACTGGGTGACCCTGCCCACAGGGGACATAGGTGGTTGTCACACGAGGCAGCCTCAAGTGGGTGGGGCCAGAGATGCTGTCAGCGCCGCCCAGTGGCCGCACCACCCAGTGGCCACAGTGCTGGGAGGTGTGTCTGGAACAGGGGGCCGTGTGCTGGTGGCAAGGAAGTCACACCTCATCAGGGTCTCAGTGGGTACATTTCGCCCTAAAATAAATTTTAAAAACAATTTCTAAACATGTCCATCTCCAGGCCCCACTTCTTTGAGCCCGATTCCAGGGACGGGGCCGGGTCTGTATTTTGGGGACGTGCCACCATCCTTAGCTCTCACATCTGGAAGATGGCGGAGGTGGGATGCAGGGAGGAAGCCCAGGGGCACTCACACTTCCGGGCTGACGTGTGCCTGGCCCTGTGCGGTCTGTTCTCGATCCCGATGACGGTGGCTGCTCCCTGAGCCAGTGTTGGCTCTGTGCCGGGGTCTCCGTCGATTCGACATGTGCCCGTCTTACAACATTCACCCGTTCATTTGCTCCCGAGAAGGTTCAGGGAGCTGAGCTGTCAGGGTCTCCGAGGGCAGGGCAGGGAAGTAGTGAGGCCCCGTCTTCAGAGGGTTGACAGTTACCAAGTAACGCTAGCAGGTGGGTGAGCGCCAGGCCCTCGCACATTATATCTCATTTAATCCTCGAGGTGACCTTGCCAAGGGGGTTCTCTGCCTTCCCCTGTGAGAACGAGGGAGCACACGCGGTTCAGGTGCTAGTCCGTGTCCTCGCCAGGGCCCGGCCTCCTGTCTGCTGTCCTCCAGGGCTCGGGCAGCCTGGGAGGGCCCATCTCCGGAATGAGAAAAGGGAAGGGCCAGGTGGGCATGTCAGGGGCCTGTGGTGGCATCGAGGCCGTAAACCTGGGGCGGCTCCCTTCTCCACCGTGAGCCTTGGTTTGCTCCGTCTATAAAATAAACCCGGCCCCTTGCCCGCAGGCTGCCGGGAGGAAGAGGGGCGGGACCTTCAGGAGGGAGGGAGGCTGGGGTCCTGGGCGTGGAGCCACCCTGCCTGCAGCGCTGTGACCCTCTGGCCCCTCCCCACACAGGCATCTCATCCCCGGTGAAGAAAACAGAGATGGACAAGTCACCTTTCAACAGCCCGTCTCCCCAGGACTCACCGCGCCTCTCCAGCTTCACCCAGCACCACCGGCCCGTCATAGCCGTGCACAGTGGTGAGCACTCCGGGCCCCGGGGGGGCGGGGGGCAGCTGGCTCTCTCGTCAGTCCCCTCCCACGGCCGGCTGAGCACGAGTCCTGTCGCTGTAGCTCCCTCTGGGCGAGGACACCTGGCGGTGCCGTGGTAGAGCGCGCCCAGGCATGACTGGCTCTTTGGGCCTCAGTTTCCCCTCTGCATGGGAAAGAGCACAGCCTGTGGTTTGCCCCTTAGCCTGCTTCCCTTATGTCCCGTTTGAAGAACCCATAGACAGACAGAGGTGTGGGACGGCCGCAGAAGGAGGTAGATAAGCCTGGCATGTGGCCACACACACAGGCCACGCAGTGACACGGGGCCTCCCCCGGCCACTGAGACAGGAACCTCACACAAAGAGCAGAGGACACGGGCTCCGGCAGCCACCGGTGTAAGCTGCGCCAGGCCCCCCCAATGTCACCTGGCGTCAGGGCTCCCCCTCCCAAGGCCGTCATTAGGACTGAGTGAGTTAAATTGTGACGCGCTCTCTGATGTCCCCTGTGGCCCGTTGTGATGATAATGACATGGTTCCAAACAAGGGCAGAAGTCACATAGGGAGGCAGGCAAACATCAGCAGTGATGTAGGCCAGCAGCTGGCAAACCAGGGCCCTCAGAGTCTGTTCTTATAAACAAAGTTTTATTGACCTCCCCCGCACACACTCCCCACCATACCCATTCGGTGGCGGCTTTGGGGCTGGGATGGCAGAGTTGAGTAGCTGCAACAGAGACCATGTAGCCCCAAAAGCCAAAAATACTAACTGGCCAGGAGCAGGAGGGAAAAGGGCGGGGGGGATGGGAGGGACAGGGAATAGACACAGGCCTTCTTTTTGGGGTGATGCCCTGGACCTAGAGTGAATGCAGTAAAAGTGGCTAAATTGCTCAGAGAAGAAAACAGACACCGCAGTGAGAACGAGGGAAGCCCTGCAGCTACGACGCGGATGGGCCTGGAAAGCGAAGCTCAGTGAGAGCCGCCAGACCCAGAGGCCCCGCGGTGGCTCCGTGTCTGCGGAAGTCGGGCAGGCAGGTCCAGCACAGGCCGTGTTTGCCAGGGGCCGGGGCTCTCAGGGACGATGACGCATTCTAAAAGAGGCGGCTGTGTTGGCTGCATTGCTGTGGGAATGTGTCAAACGGTTGAATTGTCCAGGGGCGGGCAAAAGTAGGTTTCCAGTTGTTCACGTGGGAAAAGACACGCAGGTTATGGCTGTTGCGCCAGCGTGGTTAACGCAGAAGCTCGCCACCGTGCACTTCGGTGCAGCCTGGTAAGAGCTCAGATCGCTGGCCTTCCTTCTTCACACATCCTTAAAGTCCCTGAAAACCAATAAGCCTGGTTCCAGTGGCCCCGTTGGGGTTAGCCCCACTGCCTCCTGAAGCCGTTGAATGCGAACGTACTTTTGCCCACCCCTGTGTGGTATGCAAATTATATCTCAATTTCAGAAAATATGGACCGCCTGGCCCTTTCTAGAAAGAGCTAACTGAGCCCAGGGTGAGGGTGTGGGCTGTGGGGCCAGCTGGCTTGGGCTCTACCCCTGGGTCTGCCATCCGCTTGCTGAGTGGCCTGGGGCAGGGGACATAACCTCTGAGAGCAGGGGTGATGCCAGAACCTGGAGGGTTTTCCGTGAAAGTCAGCAAGTTTGGGTGCGTGATTGACAGCAAGGCCTGGCCATCGCCGGCCCTGCTGGGCCCTGCTGGGCCCTGCTGCCGTCATGGTTACCAAAGGCACCGAGATACAGGCCGCCCACAGCGCAGTCACAGAGAGAGGACAGACGGGCAGAGCCCAGCCATAACCGCCCATTCTGTCCCCGCAGGGATCGCCCGGAGCCCGCACCCGTCCTCGGCCCTGCACTTCCCCACCACCTCCATCCTGCCCCAGGCGGCCTCCACCTACTTCCCTCACACAGCCATACGCTACCCCCCTCACCTCAACCCCCAGGACCCGCTCAAAGATCTCGTCTCGCTGGCCTGCGACCCTGCCAGCCAGCAGCCTGGACCGGTGAGTCTGGGGGAACAGACCGCCCCTCCCGCGCGCCGGGCTCCAGGCGATGTCTCAGGTGGCCTTCCACCGTGCAGCTCCTGTTGGAAATGGCTTTCCGAATGGCAGAGGGCCACGGCTCTCTTCCGGGGCACGTGGGGCTGGGCCGCTCAGAACGGCTTTTCAGACGTTAGAATTGACAGCATGTGTCTTACGAAGTGCTTGGAAATCAAACGTGGTCCTGTGGCTGCAGCTCAGGCCCAACTTCCACAAAAGCTCTTGGTTCACTGCTTTCTGGATTTGAGAGCCGCGGCAAGGTGCTGGCGGCCGGGCGCTGGCAGTGACGGGGAAAGCAGGGCACTGTGAGGGCGCCCCCCCCCCTGTCGTTCAGGACAAGGCGGCACCTTGTGGAAGGAAGGCGAGTGGATAAGTGGCTGCAGGAGGAGACAGGGAGTGCAGTGCCCGGATGCTGGAGGCCTGCAGGGCCGTGGCACCCCCCAAACCTGCCCAACCACGCCCCCCTTGTCCCCCAGCGGGACCGCGACCAGCAGCCCCAGGCGGCGGGGGTGCCGCCCCCTTAACCACGTGGCGCTCTGTTCCCCCCAGTTAAATGGAAGTGGTCAGCTCAGAATGTCCAGTCACTGCCTCTCTGCTCAGATGCTGGCACCCCCGCCCCCAGGGCTGGCGAGGCTGGCACTCTCCCCCCTCCCCCCACCAAACCCACCTCCGAGGGAGGAAGCCGGACCCAGCCTCGCCCTGTCAGCACTGGGGAAGCGGGGCCTGTGGCAGGGCGGGCATCCCCAAGGGCCCCCGCCCTCTTCCCCGACTGCCGGGGCTGGGGGCTCAGGCCCAGCCTGGTGGGTCCTGGCCAGTTCCATGAGTCCCCATTTAGGGGCTAAGGGTCAGGCCCACATGGGGCCAGGGCAGCCTTAGGGAACCTCAGGGGAGTCTGCTGTCTGCTCCAGTTGGCTGAGAGGCCTGGGGTCCCCGTTTGCTTACCGTAGACCCCTCAGCCCTCCTCCGTGCAGCAGCCGCTGACGCAGATGAAGATCTCCAGCTGGCGTCCTGAAGGCCGGACGTGGCCCCCGCTGCCCTCTGTGGGATATGAGAATCTCTTGTGTTAAAACCCTGGCATTTCACATAAAAATTTCAGAGTTCCAAATTTTGGGGGAAATGACCCCCACAGGCCCTATTCTTGCTAGTGACTTCGGCTGAGCTGTACCTATAGATGAAATGATCCCTACCTGCCCGCCGGGCCCCAGAAGGCCCTGGGTTGGTCTCCTTACCTTCTAGAACTTTGCACTCTCTGGATATGGATCCAGATTTTGGCTCGCTGGCCCCATGCCCTCCCCCCATCTGGGGCTGCTCCAGGCTGGAGAGCCACTCCCAGATTCCCTGTCTGGGGTCCACCCACCAGCAGGGGCTCTGCGCCTGGACTCTCCCTGGGCGCCAGAGCAGGCGAGGGGGCTGTCCACCGTCCCCACCGTCCTCTTAGTGCCCAGCACCCAGAGCATCTGTCCTGCGTCCTCAGGCTGAGCAGCCCCCGTTGAGCAGAGAGTCTCAGACCCCAGGCTTTCCCTGAGGTCTCATTCTGCCCCTCACCCCCTTTTTGCTGTCTCCCTCGCTCCCCAAATGAGATGCCTCACCCCGCCTGAGCTGTAGGGCCAGCGGCGCCTTCCTTGCATGAGCACTCCTGCCCTCAGCAGCACCGCCTGCCAAGACGCAGGCAGCTTCGGGTACAGGCGGGCCTTGTCTGAACTCCAGGTGCAGTGCAGGGCGCTGGGTTTGAATCCTGCCTCTGCAACTCACTTCCTGTGTGACCTTGGGCAAATATCCTCCCCTCTCTGAGCCTCAGTTTTCTCAGCTGCAAAAACGGGACGGTCACAATGTTTGCGGGGCGGTGGGGAGCGAGTCAGTGACATAGATCAGGGAGAAGGTTTAGTGCAGCGGTGAGCGCAGAGCGGAGTCTGCGGTGACGGTGCGCGCCGAGGGCCTGCCGTCTCCTCTGTGAAATGGGGAAATAATCACGTTGGCTTCAGCGAGGCTGCTGTGGGTTCAGTGGGATTGTGCCCGGTGCCTGGCATACAATAGACACTTAATAGATGCAGAGTAAACATGGATTCCCGCTTCTTCCCGTCACCCGGGTCCTAACTACAAGGTTAGTCTGCTTCCCCCCGTAGCCCTGGAGCCTCGCTGCCTCCCCTCACCTCACCCTGGCCGAGGCCACACAGAACCCCCCGCTCCCTCCCCCCCGGCCCAGCCTGTCTGAGCCCCGGCCCACAGGCTCCCAGCCGTGAATTATTCACTTGCCCACAGATAGGATGGGCGAAATTAAAATTAAAATATACACATGTGGATGGACATCCCCAGCCTTCCCCGTGCCTCTGCAGGAGGAAAATTAATAAATAAAATAGCCTCAATAATTGATGGCGCCCGTGCGGGATGCAGGCTGCCGTAGCAGGATGGGCCGGGCGGTGGCGCGCCCTGAATAATTCACAGGCGGTTTCTGAACTATGGATCTTCCCTCCTGTGCCTTCCTTCACTCCTGGCAGACGCCCCTCCCGATGACCCCGGGGGCCTGCGGCTGTGGGCTCTTCCGGGCGCCCGGATTGGCCAGGGGAGGGCACGGGTGCTCTGTGACCCCGGGCAGCGGCCACCCTCTCTGGGTGCTCCCGGGCGGCCCCTTTGCTAACGGGCTCTCGGTCTCTCTCCTCCCTGCAGCCTACTCTACGCCCGGCACGTCCCCTGCAAACCGTTCCTTTGTGGGATTAGGACCAAGGGATCCAGCGGGCATTTATCAGGCACAGGTAGGGGCCGAGAGGCCGGCTGGTGGCGGGCGGGCGGGCCAGGGCAGAGGGGCCAGCCTGGGTGTGCAGGACAGGCCAGCCTGCTGGGTCCCATGCCACCCCCCTCGCCGTACCATGGCACGGTGGCCATTAGTGTGGCAGGGGGACCAGGTCCCCAGACCCTGCCTGCAGCTTCCTGCCAGGAGAACCTCGTGGGCTATTGCCACGCTGGGCCCAGGTGTAGGTGGGGAGACAGGGGCCACAGAGCTGAGGAGATTTGCCCAGGATTATGTCACCCCAAGTTGTCAACCCCCTGGTCTTCATCCCTCCCATGTCACCAGTCAGAGGCACCGTGGGAGAGGTAGCAGAGGACTCCTGGATGCCAGGGGCAGGTGGGGAAACTGAGGCAGCCTGTGACAGGTGATGCAAAGCATGCACCCACCTCAGATTACAGCCCGCGAGGCGGGGCGGGCGGCAGCAGAGGCAGAGCTGGTGTTACTGCAGCTGAGTGTGCACCAGGTCGGGAGGAGGCGGCTGAGCAGGAGGCCAGGAGGCTCAGAGAGGAGGAGCGGGTTGCCTGAGGCTGCACAGCAGAGGGGGACAGAGCCCGGCAGGTCCAGAGCAGGGACTGGTTCCCAGCTTCCGACGGCGTGGGCGTGGCCGCAGCCCCCACCCCCGTGTCCTGACCCCGCCCTCGGTCAGGGCCAGGGTTTGAGTGTGTGCTGCGTGCAGGCGGGAGTGTGTCCGCAGACGGTGTCTGAGGGCAGTGGCTGGGCGGTTCCCGGCGTGTGCTGGGGGGGCTGCCTGAGGACAGCGCCAGCTCCTGCGGCCTCCGAGCCCAGAGACCCGCCCAGGGCTCCTCAGCGGCTCCGACAGCAGCACCTCGGAGCCCGGAGATGTGCAGGGTCCCAGGGCCGCGTTCAGTCCTCCGGCCCCTGGGAGGGTTCCTGGCACCGGGCCCACAGACGGGGTGGGAGGAGGTGGGGAGATGGCTACATCCCCATTCTCCGCGGAGCTCACCATCGGCCACACCGACCGGACCCAAGGGGTCCCCCGCCACGGTCTGGGTTCCTGGGGACCCTGCAAGGCTGGCTGGGTACAGCTCCAGGGGTGCAGAGGTGTGGGGTGGCCTGGCTCCCCCTCCCTCACGGCCCTGCTTTACCTGCCTTGACCTCGGGTCCCTCCTGGGGAGTCTGAAGGTCCCAGGATGTTAGGGGACCAGTTTCATCCAGAAAGGGCACCGGGAGGCCAAAACCGCCCCACATTCCTCACATAGCCACACAGGACTCTCTCTGCTCTCAGGGTCCCGGCCGGGATCAGACAGGGCTCACCTGCTGAGGCTCACCCAGCAGCTGGGGGGCCCAGGACGCCCTGCTTTGTGTTTAAGGCCCCGTGACCTGCCACCCTCTCTCAGTCCAGCAGCTGGTCGCCTCCCCCTCCATGCTCTGAGCCACCCGTTTCCTCTCCCGCCCTCGCCCAGCCCTCCCCACGGGCGGGCGGCTGGGAATGTCCTGATTGCCTCAGAGACCAGCGTTAATAAAAACAACAGGGAAGGGGCCCTGCCTGCCTCACCCTCCCAGCCACCGCCACCTCACCGCTTCCCTTATCAACTCTGCAGCGGGGACAGCCCGGCGGGAGGGACTGGGGCAGGCAGGCAGGCAGCTCTGCCTCTCCAGCTTTCCTGGCCCCTGGGGGGGGGGGGGAGCACCCAGAGAGGGTGGACGGGCTGGTGAGCTCTGCGGAGGGGTCTCCGGGCACCGCCTGGCAGGGAGGGAGGATGAGGGTGTCAGCCAGGGCTGGCGCTGACACAGGCCGGAGTGACGGAGAAATGGCTGGAGGGAGGGAAACCTCCAGCTCGGGCTTTGGCTGGGGCCTTGGGGAGCCATGGAGGTTGGAGGGAGGGAGGGGCAGAGCCAGGTCTGGGACGGGGAAGAGTTTTCTGGGACTGGTATTGGGGCGGAGAGGCGGGGGAGCCAGGTGACAGATTGATGAGAGACTCCCAGGGGAGCCTGGGTTGTGGGGGAGGCAAGGCCCCAATCTGGGTGACCCGGAGAGGGGGTCCCTGCGGCACTGCACAGGCCAGACTCTGAGTCCCTGGACAAAGGGCACCCCAATCCCAGGTGGGGTCCGCCCCTCCCTCCTCAGGAGGCGGGAAGTGGGAGGAGGACGCTGTGGGCGAGAGCCCGCTCCCCCTCTCAGAGCCCCTGCGCTCAGAGGCCTCCGGTTTCTGGCCCGTCAGCATTTCTGCCTCCGCCTCCCTTATTCCTGGCAGGTTTGCCTTTCTCTGCTCCCCTGCCCCCCCCCCCCAGCCTGCAGTGCTTCTCTCCCTCCCCATGCCCCCTTCCATCTCCTCCTGCCTGATCAATATCCCCTCCCCCCATCGGTGCCCTTCCCCCTCAGTGTTTCCTTCCCCATCGGTGTCCCCTCCCCTTAATCAATATTACCTCCCTCCATCTGTGCCCCTCCCCCTGATCAATATCAGTGCCCCCTCCTGAGCAATGTCCATTGATCTCTGCCGGTCAGTTCTTCATGCCCTCCTCCCCTCCCTGTCGTTCGCCATCAGTCCCCCCAGGCCTGAGTCAGAGGGGGTTCCAGGGACTCTGACACTCACCCCCTTTTCTGTGTGATACCTCCCCTCCCCCCACCTTTCTGCTCAGGAGCCCCTCCCACCCCTTCAGAGGAGGACTGTACTGAGGACCAGAGTCGGTTCAGCCGCCGATGCCCTAAGCCCTGCTTGGTGGCTCCACCAGCCCAGGGGAATGCCAGAGCCCAGACCTCAGGCCGGCCCTGCACTGCCTCAGTCTTCCTCTCCGCGAGGGAGAGGATGTGGAGCTGAGGGTGCCGCCCTGTTCCTGGGGCCAGAGCAGGGCAGCTGGCCTGGGAGGGGAGGAAGGAGGAGGAGGCCGGGCCAAAGGGAGGCCGGCCACCACTGGAGAGGGCCACGCCCAGAGTCTGTCTGGTTGCCAAGGGAAACCAGACATGAGGTAATGGCCAAGATGAACTTGAACTTGGTTGGAGTGGGGGGTTGGGAGCCACAGCTAGTTTGATGGGATGGCCCAGCCGCAGCAGGGTGCGCTGGATGAAGGCCTGGCTGGAAGGGATACAGTTGATTTATAGCAGGCCTGGGGGCAGCACTGCCCTGACCTCAGGGAAGGGGTGGTCCCCAGACCCACCCCCCGTGGGCCAGCACCAGTGCCCTGCAGAGCACGCCGAGCTGTCCGGTGCAGGCCTGGCCCCTCCCGGGAGCCTGTCTCCCACTCTGCACAGTGGGGTCTGAAGCCCCTGAGGCCAGGTGAGGGCTCAGTCCCGGCAGAGGGAAAATCAAGGACTGGAGAGAGCATCGTGGGCCAGAGTGTTAATTCCGCCTTCTGCTCCCACGCTGGTGGCCTTGGGCAGATTGTCTGACTTCTGTGATTCCCCAGTTTTCTCCACTGGGAAATGGTGGCTCCGCCTCCACAGGAGTTTGGGGGGATCATTAAGTGGGAGAATGTTTATTTAAAAAAAGAAGCAACCCTGGTCACGATACCTGGTGCAGAAAATGGGCTCGGAGGCAGGGAAACCACAGGGCAACGAGGCTCGCCGCTCCTGTTGCCAGTTACAAAGCAAAACTGCAGGCTGCTCAGGCAGATTGGAATTGCTGAAAATGAAGGACTAAAAGGTTTTTTCCTTGCTGGTGTATATAAGTTTATTCCAAAAGCTGCATGGCGTGTGCTTGTCCTGAAAGATTTACAGGGAGTTCAGCTTCCACCGTTGTACCCAGCAGCCCCGCTCGGGGTGAAGTCACTTGCCCAGGGTCACCCAGCTGGTGGGGGCAGATGTGGGTGGGGGACACGGGTCACAGGGAGGCGGTGGGCCGGGGCGGGCGTGGGCAGCGGCAGAGCCTGACCTCGCTCTCTCTCTCTCTCCCCCTCTCCGCGGTGCTCCCCGGGCTGGCAGTCCTGGTATCTGGGATAAGAAAGATCTCCTCCCGCGCCCTGCTCCTGCGTCCGGGCCCCAACGGGCCCCGGCCCACGTTTTCGGTGGAAAGTTAGAGCAAGCAAGAACACCCTGCCGACTCCCAGCCCAGCCGAAAAGACAAAACACATAGACACATATACACAGGAGGAAAAAAGAAAAAGCCAAAAAAAAAAAAAAAAGACAAATGGGAAAAAAATCATAAAAACAAACCCACCCAAGCAAGAAGACAAAAGGCAAAGACGGCAGCGCTTCCGGCTCTCGGGACCCACAGCTGGACCTGCCGCCCTCAGCGGAGGGCGCGGACGGACCGTGCCGGGGCCTCTGTTACTCATCTCTCTGCTGCTCCGCCCCCGCCAGGACCAGGTGAGCGCAGCCGACGACGTGCCAGGTCCCGGGGCAGGACGCCCAGCCCGGCCCCTCTCCCCGCGGCCCCTCGCCGCCTCCACCAGGACGCCGGCCGGGCTGCGCCTGGTGATGTCCACGCCGGAAGGCAGGCACCGCGGAGCGGGGTGGGCGGGCGGTGACCGGGCAGGAGGAGGCCGTGGGAGACCCTGGGCGTCGCCGGGGACAAGGACACGGGGCAGGTGGGGTCTCAGGCGCGGCCTGGGGCCCCCGGGCGTGCATGTGCCGGGCTGGTCCGTTTGGGAAGAGAAGTCTCTATGCAATTGCCCCAGCCCCACCCGGCGGCACAGAAGGCCACCCCCGCCCCCGCACCCACCGCGGCCCCGCACCCCGGGGAGGGACCCACGTTGCACACACTGTAAGAAATGCACTTTCCAGGAAGGGGCTGCGGGCGGGACGGCAAGACCCGGACGTCCTGGAGAAAGGGGGTCGTCCTGCGTCTCCGTCCGCCGAGCCCTGGCAGGGGCCCTCCCGCTTGCCCAGAGGAGGTGAGGGTGAGAGCGAGTGGATTAAGTGCCTGATTCCCACCGCCCAGCCCTCTGTCCGGCTGAGACGTGAGAGTGGCCGTGGGCATCCCCACCCTCTCCCCCTCCACCGGCCACCTTCAGCCCCCACCCCTCATTGCTGTGCTCCCCTCAGAAAGACGGGGCCCCCGTGGGCCCGAGGGGCAGAGCTGGGTGTCCCCCGGGCATCCTGCTGTGCTGGGGCGTGGGGGCAGGGTCTGGGGAAACTGGTGTGCCCCCCAACGCCGCCTCTGCCAGTGCCTTACATCCTGGAGCGACCCCCCTCCCCGGTGCCTCAGCCCGAAGGGGGGCTACGGTTTGCACTTTTCTCTCCCCCGAAGCGGGCACAGCCGGGGAGGCGCATTGCAGCAGGGCCCCCAGAAGGACTGCAATCCTGGACGGGGTGGGGGTTCTGGCGGAGGGGGTGCCAGCACCTCTGGGCCCCTGCGGCTGCATAGGGGGCCTCCATCTGCTAAGCATTTTCCGTTGAGCCGCTCCAAAAACACTAAGCTGGGGACACCGGGTACCCCCCACCCGGGCTCCCCAGCCCCATTCCCGCCCCCACCCCAGGGTGGCCATCTTGGGAGGGGGCCTAGGAGGGAGTGTTAGGTGTTCTAGGTAACCAGAGACCCCTCCCGGCCCGTCCACCTGAGCCCCCTGGCGGCCTCCAGCCTCCATGCCTGGCGCTGAAGAATACACCCCGCCCGCCCGCCCGGCCGCCGAGGCCAAGCTGCGGCCCTGAGCAGGCTCCGCCTCATCCGCTCCCAGCCCGGCCCTCGGCGCCTCCTCCCGCTCCCCCCGGGCCTGGCCAGCCTCCCCCACTTCCAGAAACCGGACTTTTCTCCCAAACCAGCCGGAGGGGCTTGGCGGACCCACTTGATCGATAAGAGAAAGACCCAAGTCCCTTCGCCAACTCCCCCTCCCATTGCCCAGAGGGTTCCAGGACCCTTGGCCCATCCATGGGTCCCCAGGGCCCTCAGGCGGCCAGCGGGGACGCAGCACAGGCCGTTGGTTGGGAGGGCGGGGGAGGGGGGGGTGTCTCGCAGCTAGGGTGTCCGGAGCTCAGCCGGAACCTTAGGGTGCAGGGAGGCGTGGGAGGGGAGGGGCCCTGCAGCCCCAGCGACCTAACTTGCATGGTGCTTAGTCGAGGACTCCTGTGGCCTGGCTCCTGCTGCCAGCTCACTACAGCTGGCACTGCATGGCAGATCCTACCTGGCTCTCTCTCCCAGCCCCCCCACGACGCCCCCCCCCTTCAAAAAAAAGATACAAAAAAATACCTTTAAAAAAGCCCATGTTTCCTAATTTGCACGAAATTTTCTACCACATGATGTGCCTTGCCTTCCGAAAATAAGTATTACCTTTACACAATATCAGCGCAAAGGTAGCTGCATGCCCTGCTCGTGTAGTTAAAAAGAAAAAGACAAAACAATGACATGAAATAAAAAGTAAAAATGGAAAAGGGATGTATTTCTATTTGTAAAAAACAAAAACAAAAAAAAATAAGTTTTAAAAAATTACATGCTAAAAAGCAGTCCACAGAGCAACTGCCCCACGACCGCCCCCCACCCGCCACACTGGGCTGTCTCCACGGCTCCTGCTGCCCGGGGCGCTCCCTGGTGCTCCGCCCACCCAGCCCCACCCCAGCTCCAAGGGGCCGTCTCTGAAGCCCCCGCCACAGCAGCAGACAGACCTCAGGAGCGTCCCCTGGCTCTTGGGCCTCCGGCTAGTCCCCCAGACGCCACGCATGCACGCATGACCCAGGCTGTACCCCCATGGGGTGGCCGCCCTGCGGCAGCCAGACTCCCCATCCCACCTCATGCAGGCTGGCGTCCCCCTGGCTCAGGGTCATACTGCTCTCCCACCCCCAAAGAGGCTCCCCCTCTGCCCGTGCACCCTCCTCCTTCTTGCCAAAGGACCCACTTGTCCCCGTTCCTGGACACCAGCCTTGGGTGTCGGTTCCTTCCTGCCCTCTGCCCGCCCCCCCCCCATCCAGTACTACGTCTTCCAGCTGCGACTAAGGAGGGTATCTGGTATGAAACAAAAAACAAAAACCAAACTCGATATATGCAATATCTGTCTGTCTGTACCTGTAAGTCCAGCCCAGCCGTCGGAGGCCCAGTTAAAGGGGCCGTGGGGTCGGGGCAGCCAGGGGGGCACCCCACCGTCGTCCTCTGTCCCGGTGGCTGGGCCATGCTGTTGTCCTTCCTCGTTTCTTATTTTCTCATTTCCTCCCTTTTTTTTTTTTAAGCTCCGTTTCCTCTCCCTTGGCTCAGTGGAAGGTGAGATGGTGGCAGTGAGCGGGGTGTCCTCCAGCCTCGGGCCCCTCTGCATCTCCTCCGGGGCCGCACCCGCTGGGCGATGTCCACCTCTCTGCCCACTGCCCCTGGGATGTTAGCTCTGTCTCCAGAGCAGGTGGGACTTGGCAGAAAGGAAGGTCCCAGCTTTCATCAGCCCCTACTCGCTCATCCCATCTCTCCTTCCCAAAGACACTCGGCACGCCCGGGGGCAGGGAGAGCCAGGCCTGGCCTGGCCCCTGGCAGTGCCCTCAGAGCAGTCACGTGGCCAGAGAGCCCACGGCTGTGTGTGTCGGTTTCCATGTGTCTGATTTCTGTTTTATTCCCACCTTGGCAAGGGCTTTGCTGGAGCCATATTGTCCCCCGTGGACTGCACTCCCCTGCGCCGCCCTCCGGCCCGGCTGTGACCCTGCCCTGCCAGCACCATCGCCGGGCACTGTGGCACCCCCTTCCCGGACAGTGTGTCATCCTGGGCCGTTCGTTCCCGTTTCTTGGAAAAGACCCAGCGTCCCCGTTGAGCAGAATGCCCGGCCCCCCATTGCAGGCAGCATAAGGCAGAAAGATCAGGAACCAGACCCCCGACCCACCTCTGCAGCTTGGGTTTGTGCCCGCGGCAGGGATGGCTGCCTGGGCCGGGTTGTTTTTGTGTGTGTTTTTTTACATGTAGGAAACTGACGTTTTCGCAAACCCCATCCCCTCCCCACCCGCCACCCACCACTCACCCGGCCGTGGCCCTGGGTCCAGCTCTGCAGTGGGAGAGCAGAGGGAAGCCTCCCAGAGGGTGGGAGGGCCCGCCCCTCATGGGTGGGGGCTCCAGACACCGGCCAGGCCCGGTGGAGGGGGAGGGAGACAGGGGAAGGCCTGGCCTAGCAGACCGGAAACGGGAGTGGGGTCCTCCGTGCCTACGGCCCAGCTCCGAGCCCCACCCTGAGCCAGACAATCCGGCCCGAAAGGGACCCCAGGGGAGTCCCACGGGGGCTCCCTGAGACAGAGAGTTCCCGGGGCGGGCAGACCTGAGGGGCCAGTAGCCAGAAGCTGCCTTCCAGCCCCCTCACTCCCGCTTCTCCGATGGGTCTTGGACCTTCAGTGCAGGCATATATACTAGTGAGCATAAGCACCTTTACTCACAGTACAGATGAGACGGCGGCGACTTGTTATTTTGGCCTGGATTCTCTCCTTCTCTCAGAGCCTGGTTTTTTCTTTCTAGAGAGTGTTGGGGGCGGGGTTCAGAGATTCACCCTCAGATCCAGCTGCTTCCACATCCTCCCATCTTCCCCCATTTCTGCACCTTCGGACGCTTTCTAAGAGTCCCACCCCCAAGCTGACTCGCCTCCCCCCACCCCCCACCCGTTCCTAAGCATTTCAGAGTGTGTGGGGTCTGCCGTGGCCCTGGAGGCCCACCCAGCCCTGCCCCCAGCAAGACAGGGAGACAGACCCAAAGCGATCCCAGCAGGACTTGTTGCCAGTGATACCAAAACAGAGTTTTCCCAAGCAGTGCCTCACACGTCTGCTGGTGTGGCTTTGGAGTGCTCCCCGCTCCCGGGAGGGGGGGTCCTCAGCAGGCAGGAGTCAGGACCTCACGGGAATCAAGGGCTCCGGAGGGGAGGAGAGTCACACACACCCCAGCCACAGCCCTGCACTCACACCTCCTGGCCAGAAGGGACCCTCCTTCAGGCGGGAACCCCAAGCCCACTCCCAAGGTGCGTTCACATTTCCATCTGTTGATCTTCCTGTCTTGGGTCCCAGCCAGGCCCCCCCAAAACCAAAGCCCCTTTAAGTCCAGGGGTCCTGACCCTTGCCCCCAGTCTCCTGGCCCCCACACGAGGGAAGGACAAGCAGTGTCCAGGCAAGGGACAGCACAGCATGGGGGGGGACAGGAGGAGGGGGAGAGAGACCTCTTTTCCTCCGAATTTCCTTCCTCCCTCCTTCCCCTCCCCCTTCCTTCCATCCAGTCATCCATCCATCCATCCATCCTTAAACTTTTTGGTGGTGTTGCTGTTCACTTTTTCTTTCGAGATATTTTTTGAGGTTTTTTTTTTTTTTTTTTCTCATTTTGTATTTTACTGATATTACCAGGATAGTTTACTCTGTTTCTTGCTTTGTGCTTGCCGCACGTACCGGATAACACGTACACACGCCCGTGCTCATGGGGGAGAGGTTCCGGCTGGGTCTGCCCCCCTCCGCCCCAGCGTGGGGCCTGGACGGGGGACACGGGGCCATCCGGGCGGACCTGAGCCCAGCCTCCTCCCTCCCCGCTCACCGCCCTGCTCCCTCATCATACTCCGATCATAACCTGTATATTACGCTTTCATTTCAGTTTTGCAGATGCGCCTAAGTACCATTTACAGAAAGTGATTCTGGCTGTTATTATTTGGTTTGTTTGTTTCCCTATGCAAAAAAAAAAAAATCCAAAAAAGAAAAAAAATGGGGGGGTTCCATAAAAGATTCAATAAAAGGAAAAAAAAGGAAAAAAGAAAAAATGTATAAAAATTAAAAAAGCTACGCTTGACTCTTTCGGGCTGTCTTTGTCCTTTCTGTGTTCACTGCGAACTGTTCTGTGTTCCAAAGGGAAGGGAAGGGGCTGGAGGCAGGGCAGGGGGCCCCGGAAACGGGGGCCCCAACACATTGGGTGAGCGGCAGGTGTCCTGAGACCTTAGATCGATGTCCCCGGGGACCTGTCGCCGCGTCTGGGGACATCTGTGGTTACAATGGGAAAGCTGCTGAGTGGGAGGGTGGGAGGCCAGGCTTTGCTCACCACCACCCTGTGCCCAGGAGAGCCCCCCACGAGGACAGTCCAACCCCAATGCCAGCCATGCTGAGGGGGAGAGACCCGCTCTGATGGCTCTGATGGCGGTTTGGGTGAGGCCAGGCCCTTCCCACCTGATGTGTGCTTCATGGCCCCACCCTCTGCAGCCCTAGGATGCTGGGCTGCTCCTGCCCTCAGCAGTGCGGTTCTGGCACCCCCTTGTGGGCGGACTGAGGAGCTGGACCCAGGAACCGCCATCCCCAGCCCCAGCCCAGCTCCTCCCCGCAGCCCAGCTCCTCCCCGCAGCCCAGCTCCTCCCCCAGCCCAGCTCCTCCCCGCAGTGGAAATGGTGCATTTGCAGGAGCTTCTCAGCTGGCTGGCGTGGGAGCTCAGCTGGAGAGGGCTCAGCGGGTTGCAGGCCTCAGGTTCGGCTGGGAACCTCACTCTGGCCTTTAATCTCAAGGGAAGTCGGTGGTTTTCACCATTGGCCCCTAGGGTGGAGCAGTCACTGGCGTTGGGGCTACCCCGGCACTGCAGGCTTTTCACCAGCCCTGGCTCCCCACTAACTACCATGAAAGGGAGGCAGACTTGTGACAACCTAACCCCCCAAAAAATTTCCAGATGGCCCTGTGGGGAAGCTCTGCCGCCTGCAGAAAGGGAGGAGTCCGGACAGCCCTTCTCTCTCTCACCCTCCCTCTCAGCACCCCGTCCCCTGGAAACCCCCAGACTGTGCCCAGAGGACTCGAGAGGCAGAAATTCCTGCCTTCCCAGAGCTGCAGCAGAAAGCACCCCTCTGGCCCTGGCCAGCGTGGGTCAGAGTGGCTGGAAGGTCGCTGGTTCGATTCTAAGTCAGGGCGCATACGTGGGTGATGTGGATCAGGGCACATGCAAGAGCCATGGTTCTCCCCTCCCTCTCCCTTCTCTCTCTCTCTCTCTCTCTCTCTCTCTCTCTCTCTCTCTCTCTCTCTCTCACCTGTAAAGCATATCCTCAGGTAGGATTTTAAAAAACAAATAAGAAAACACCCTCTGACCTTCAGAATTCCCCTAGCCTGAGAGGGAGGTGTCACTCCCCTGTCCATGGCCACCCCTGCAGCGGAACGGAAACCCGACATTCAGTAGCGCCTTGGGCTCTGTGTTCTGTGCACAGGAGCCGTGTGGACAGAATTTCATTCAATCCCCATGGCGGTGGCTGATGTTCTATTAGAGTTACTGTCCTCCCCTTCGACAGGGCGGGGCTCTGGGGCAGAGAGGGGCGTTAGTTGCCTGGGGCCCCACGACGCTGTGCGGGCAGCACAGGAAGGTGAGGCGAGGAGGATGTGTGTGCACCCCCAAACCTCAGCTCCCGGGAGTCACACTCCGGGGGCAGCGCCCTGAAGCGCAGTGGTGGGAGGGGCCTCCATCTCCCAGGAAACGCTCAAAGTTCACGTTCAGGAATAGCAAACGCGAGATCGCAGGAGGAGGCGGGCTGGCTCTGGCCTGGGTCCCGCAAAGACAGGCAGAACACTGGCAGCTTCTCCCCTCCTCCCCTTTGCCGGTGAAAGGGGGCGGGGCCGTCCCATGCCGCAGCGATGCGGACGGAGGCCGGGAGAGGGCTCCTGGGAGCTCCTGGGAGCAGGGCCCCAAAAGGCCTTGGAGGCAGGACAGGAGGAAGAGCCGGCTTCTCTCAGGAAGTTCAAAGGGCAGCAGAAATCAGAAGCCAAGCAGTGGGCGAAAGACTCCTGCCATGCAGACTGGGTTGAGACAGGAGATGGCGGGCGGTGACTCAGGGGTGCCCTCCGAGCTTGAGAAACATTACCAGCTGGAGGCCGCCTTGGGGAGGGGTGTGATGCCCAGGGAGCGTGCAGAGCCTCCGGAGGGAACTGGGGTGCGTCCGCGCCCTCTCCACTCGGGGACGCTTCCCCCAGAAGGAGCCACTTTGCTGGCGCCAGAGCCAGGCCTTTGCTCACAGGGCGCAGAGCAGGCGTGGGAGCGGCCCCGGGCTGCCTGGTGGAGCCTTCCTTCCTCCCTCAGCTCCCACCCCAGTCGCCCACTCCTCCCTCCTCCTCCTCTCTCCATCTCCTCTCCCTTTTTATCGCTGCGGAGACACGAAGAGCCCAGACAGCCCAGTGTAATAAGCACTCACTGTCCCAGGCCTACAGTTCCCAGGCCCTGCGTCCTGCACCCTGGTTGTTGCCATGGGGGGGGGGGGGGGGATGCCGAGGCGCAGGCGGGTGAGGGCATTTGCCCAATTTGAAAAGGAAGGAAGTGCCGGAACCCGGGCTGGAGCTTCATGAGCCCATATCTGGGCCCTCTGGCTTCCTGGATCTCAAGACTGTGAGTGGATGGGCAGAGACATGGGGATGGACCAACTGATGAGTGAGCGGATGGGTGGACGGATGGGCGTGTGGACAGTGGAAAGGTACATGGATGGGTGAGTGGATGAAGGATGGATGGATGGATGGATGGACGGACAGAGATGGACAGACAGGAATGGGTGACGAAGGGGGGAAGGAGGGAGGGATAATGGATGGCTGGAAGGAGAGGGAGTTGGAGAAGTGGATGGATGGGTGGATGAGTGGATGGGTAAGTGGGTGAGAAGAGGTGGATGATTAATGAATGGGTCAGAGGGGCGGGGATAAAGAGGCACAGCTCTCATCGGAGGCCGTATACCGGCTTTCTGTGGGAAAGCCCCTGATTGGCAGGTGGGCAGTCAGGCGGGAAGTCAGCGAGGTTATGGAGCCCCCCCCCCGTGGTTCTGAATCAGAGAATTAATTACCCTGGGACCCTCTCCTGCCCCCTTCGAGGAGGCAGAGGAGAGGGGCTTTAAGGGGCGGGAGGAGCGGGCTGAGGGCGGGGCTTGGAGAGGAGGGCCTGCCTGTGAAGAGATTGGCTGCTCCGAATGAGGCGGAGACCAGTGAGGACGTGAGGATGAGGATGAGGAAAGACAGGCCTTGTGCAGCCTCGGCCCCTTCAACCACGGCTCCCTCCAGGCCACTGCGGTGGGAGCAGCGCAGGTCAGCAGCCTGGCCACCAGGTTGGGGTTCTCCCCTTCGTCCCCCTCCCTGCCCCCCAAGGCCTGAATCTGCCTCCGGGCCGGGACCAGAGCTGCCTGAGGGGAGAGTCATGGGGCAGCGGGGAGGAGGGAACACGGGGTCGTCCAGAACCTGTCCATCCTGGTCTGTCTGTCCTCGCTCCTGAGCAGCGGGTTCTGGGGGGCAGCCCAGGACATCCCGGGGCACCCCGGGGCACCCCGGGGCAGGGTGTGGCCAGAGCCACAGGAAGTGGGTTCCAGGTTCCCTGGGGAGGGGCCCAGGCATCCCAGCACCCTGTCTCCCTGAAGCTCACCCTGACCCCTCCTTCCCCACAGTCGAAACCAGGGAGGGGAGGCTCAGGAAAGGGGGAACTCATCTCCTGAGGACCTACTCTGTGCCAGGCCTTGCAATGGCCCTTAAGCCCCACGCTTCCTTCAGGCCCGACGGTCAGCCTGATGGTCAGAACTCTTGTTTTCACACGCGGAAGAGCCACCTTGAGCCTGGCCGGTGTGGCTGAGTGCATAGAGCATGGCCCCGTGGGCTGAAAGGTCCTGGGTTCAGTTCTGGTCCCTCGGTTGCAGGCTGGTCAGGGCTTGTGTGGGAGGCAACTAATCGATGCATCTCTCTCACATCCATGGTTTTTTCTCTCTCTCCCTCCTTCCTCCCCTCTCTCTCTCTCCTCCCTTCCACTCGCTCTAAAAACCAATGGAAAAGTACCCTCAGGTGAGGATTAATAATAAATAAAAAAAAGAGCCGACTTGAGACTCAGAGAGGTCAGGTGACCTGCCCCAGAGCCAACAGCACTGCAGAGGAACACAGTCCTCCCAGGGGGACCCACAGGAGAGGATTTTCCCCCCGCAACCCCCCCACCACCACCATCCTGCCACCAGAGCCTCCAGATTTGACCTTAGCCACAGCCTGCCGGTGCCATATTTTGGGCAGCCTGTGCTTCCCTCATGGCTCTGTCAACAAGCGCCCGGGAGGCCTGCCCTCTTCCTAAGCCTCAGTGTTTTCACCTGGAAAATGGGGCTGACGAGGAGCTGATGGGGACTGAGCGAGAATAAAGAAGCCAGCTGTTCCGTGGGTGTTTGTCTCCTTCATTTCTTCATGGTTTTCCTGCCCACCTGGAGGGATCCTGGTAGGACTCCACCCCCAGCTACGGGCCCGGAACGGAGCTCCGAATGCCGTGCCGTTCAAGATCCTCATTAAGAATATTTAACCGAGCCGGCACCGGTGTGGCTCAGTGGATAGAGCGTCGGCCTGCGGACTGAAAGGTCCTGGGTTCGATTCCGGTCAAGGGCATGTACCGTGGTTGCGGGCACATCCCCAGTAGGGGGAGTGCAGGAGGCAGCTGATCAATGATTCTAACTCTCTATCCCTCTCTCTCATCGATGTTTCTAACTCTCTATCCCTCTCTCTTCCTTTCAAAAAAAAAAAAAAAAGAATATTTAACCGAGAAACAGCCAACGTCCAGGGCAAGGTCCGGGGCCCAGAGGAAGTGAGGAGAAAGGAGGCTGGAAGCTGGGAGGAGAAAATGCTTTTCTATCCCAAGAAAACGCAGGGCCCCGAGACCGTCCTCCAAGACATGCTTCTCAGAAGCGGGTAACAGAGTGGCCCCGCCCCAGGGGAGGAGGAAGCAGGGACTTCCCAGGAGACAGCCCTCCGGGCTCAAAGTCCCAGCTCAGGGCAGCAAGACAGATTACAGGGCAAGTACTCCCCGCCCAGGGCCGGGCATCTGTGCGGCCGATGGTCCCTATCTGCCTGGCCATCGCCCCCAAACCAAAAGCTGCCCGCCCACGGTGAATAGTCCCAGGATCCTTCTGAAAGGGTCTGGTGGATTGTTGTTGTTGATCCTCACCTGAGGATATTTTTCCATTGATTTTTAGAGAGAGTGGAAGAGAGAGAGAAACATCGATGTGAGACACAATTGGCTACTCTCCCATGCACCCAGACCAGGGCCTGGGACCGAGCCTGCAACTGAGGTTTGTGCCCTTGACCAGGATCAAACCCAGGACCCTTCAGTCCACAGGCCGATGCTCTACCCACTGAGCCAAACGGGCCAGGCCAAATCAATTCTTTTCTTTTTTTAAATACGTTTTTATTTATTTTTTAGAGAGAGGAGAAGGGGAAGGAAAAGAGAGATAGAAACATCAATGTGATGTGAGAGAGAAACATCAATGGGCTGCCTCATACCCTCTACTGGTACGGAGTCTGCAATCTGGGCATGTGCCCTGACTGGGAACTGAACCCTGGCCTCTTGGCTCCTAGGTCAACGTTCAACCACTGAGCCACACTGGCTGGGCTCTGACCAATTATTTAATGCAGGTTCCCAAGAGGTAGTCCTGGATCCTGGGACTATTTACCGTGGGAGGGGCAGGCCTGAGGGAGGAGGTTCTGACCAAGAACCCTCAGGCAGAGGGAAAAGAGACAGATGGGGAGCCATGAGGATGAGGGAGGTAGGAGATTTCTTCATCACCGTCAATAAGAACCCCCACCCAGGACAGGTCGGAAAGGAGGTGCAGAGAGACATGGAAGGGCAAAGAGCCCTGTTGGGGCTGAGGGGGAAGGCAGGTCCCAAGCCTCTTTGTTCAGGGTCTGGATTCCTGTAGTTATTTCAGTAGCTTCAGGTCCAGGCTCTTTGGTACGGGGGCATCTCTGGGGGGCTGCCTGGAGGAGGTGGCAGGGAATCTTCACATGGTTGTGATCTTGGCTGTCTCCTGGTTTCTGGGCTCCTCTTGCTCCTCTTTCTCCTCCAGTTCCAGCCCCAGGTTGCTCTCTCCTTCCTTCTTGGCCTTTTTCTCCTTCTCCCTCTTGTCTTCTTGACTATAGAGAGACACAGGCCCCAGACCCCAATCAGTCACTCCTATTGAATGGAAATTCACCTGGGCCAGGCCTGTGATGAGTGTTTTATAGGAAGTGTCTTCACTGAATCCTCAAAATAAAGCCCAATGCGGCAACTTTGTAATTTCCACTTTACAAAGTCAGATACTAAAGCTCACTGGTCCCATGGAGGAACAGATGGGCGATGGGTGGGTGGATGGGTGAATGGGAGGGTGAGTGGGTGGATAGGTGGGTGGGTGGGTGGGTGGGTGGATGGGTGGGTGGGTGGGTGGGTGGGTGGGTGGATGGGTGGGAGGGTGGATGGGTGGATGGGAGGGTGAGTGGATGGGTGGGTGGGTGGGTGGGTGGGTGGATGGGTGGGAGGGTGGATGGGTGGATGGGAGGGTGAGTGGATGGGTGGGTGGGTGGGTGGGTGGATGGGTGGGTGGGAGGGTGAGTGGGTGGATGGGTGGGAGGGTGGATGGGTGGATGGGAGGGTTGGTGGGTGAAGGGTGGGTGGGTGGGTGGATGGGTGAATGGGTGGGTGAGTGGGTGGGAGGGTGGATGGGTGGATGGGAGGGTGGGTGGATGGGTGAATGGGTGGGTGAGTGGGTGGGTGGATGGGTGGGTGGATGGGAGGGTGGGTGGATGGGTGGATGGGTAGATGGCACATCTTGGGCTCAGCTGAGACTCTTTCAGCCAGGCTGGTCCCCTCTCAGGTCCTGCCTCCTGCCCCGACCTTTGCCCCCTAGGCCTGGCCGTGGCCGTGGGACAGTGTCAGGAAAGCAACCTGGTGAGCAGGATGGGCTGCGGTGAGGAGAAAACACCTGAGCAGGGACTGGAGGAGGAGCCGGCCAGATGATATGGGAAAGAGGTTCCAATTAGAGGGCACAGGAGGTACAAAGGCCCTGTGGCAGGAACGTGCTTGAGGTGTTCCAGGACAAAAAGGTCATCTGTGCACAGTGGACAGTGGAAAGGTACTTGGATGGGTGAACTCATCACAAGGCGACCACTTCCCCCAGAAGGGGGCTCACGCAGACTCCCTGACTCCCCACGCACACACCTGCACACACCCACACGCGCGCGCGCGCGCGCACACCCCCCCCCCCACACACACACACACACAAACACACACCCACTCCCACACACACACCCACAGGCAGTACCTCAGGTCCACGTTTCGGATCGGGTTGGTCTCCATTCTGAGCATGGCTTCGTCGTCCTCAGCTCTAGGAGAGATGGAGACGGGGTGAGGGTGGTGAGGGATGGAGAGACGGAGACAGGGTGAGGGCGGTGAGGGATGGGGAGATGGAGACGGGTGAGGGCGGTGAGGGATGGGGTGAGGCCCAGGGTTGGGGTCCATGAACTCCAGGAAGCAAGGAGGGGCGGGTTGCATGGCTCTCTGGTCTGGGGGTGGGAGTCTGAGGAATAACGGGAATGGAGAGGTGGGGGAAGGCCCAGAGGGTGAGGAGGGGAGGGGTCCCAGCACTTTGGGAAGAGCAGAGGGACAGGCGGCTCCTGGAGCGTGGGGGCGTGCGGGTGTGGGGGATGGGTCTCGTGGGGAGTGGGGACGTGGGGGCGGGGGGTGGGGGGTGGGGATGTGGGGGGTGAGGTGTGGGGGGTGGGGATGTGGGGGACATGGGGGCGGGGGATGGGGATGTGGGGGGTGGGATGGGGGGGTGGGGGGGTGGGGGGTGGAGGTGTGGGGGCGCAGGGGTGTGGGGGGTGGGGGGACAGACGCTCTCACCTCCTTTTGGAACACCAGATGCGGTTGACGAGCAGGAGGACGAAGACGATGAACAGGAAGCCCACCACGGCCGCCAGGCCCGTCAGCCACGGCTTCAGGCGGTTCTCCGTGGCTGTGGAGGTGGGGGAGTGGGACTCAGAGACGGGCGTGTAGGGCCCCCGAAGGGGACGGGGAGCAGGGAGTCCGGGTTGCTTAGCCCAGTGGTCGGCAAACTCATTCGTCCACAGAGCCAAATACCACGGCACAACGACTGACATTTCTTCGGAGAGCCACGTTTTTTAAACTTAAACTAACGCCACTTCTTCCAAACAGACTCGCCCAGGCCGTGGTACTTTGTGGAAGAGCCGCACGCAAGGGGCCAAAGAGCCGCAGTGGCTCTCAGGCCACGGTTTGCCCGCCACCGGCTTAGACAGGTGGGGGCTGGGTGTCAGGGAAGGGAAGGTGCTGGGGACCCCACGCCCCCTCCCCGCCGCCCCAGGGGCGCCCCTACCCTGCTGGGCTTCCGCGGGCACGAGCAGCAGGGCGCTGACCACCAGGAGGGTCCACAGGGCCTCCATGGCGGAGGAGCCAGCGGCGCGGGCGCGAGGTCCGAGGAGCAGGTCCTCTGTGGCTGGCGAGGCCCTGCCAGCCCTGATAAGGCGCAGGTGGGTCCGGGCAGGGCAGGCCCGCCCTTCACCCCACCTGGCGGCACCCCCTCCCCAGGAGGGCAGACTCTGGACCCGGTGTAACGATTAACCCAGGAGGCTGCCAGCTGCGCCCTGCGCCCGCCCAGGCCCCAGCACTGAGCCCCCAGGCTCCACGCCCCGAGGGAGCCAGGCTCAGCACGTTCATGTCTTTCCTTCTCTGAACCTCACACAAGTTGCTGCCTCCGTTTCAGAGAAGGTCAGAAAGGCCAGGAGCATGGAGGCCAGGGGTCTCCCCCCCCCCCCCCCCCCCGCAGCTTCCTGGGCCTCGTCTGCTCCCCCGGCCCGGGGACCCGCGGCGCTGGGAGGGACGAGGGATGTGCCCAAGGCCAGCGGCCCCTGTGGCAGAGGACAGGGCACCTGGGCAGCTGATGACTCAGGCTCCGGGCTCTCAACTTTGGTCCCAGCAGATCAGATACCGGGCCCTGCACTCCCGCTGCCACGGGCGGCCACGGCCCAGGCACGTGGCGGAAGGCTGGGGGGGGGATGGGGAGGGGGCAGGCCCTTCAGGCTCGGGAGCCCTCCCCGGGCTGGGGCTGGAGAATGCCGGCAGCAAGGCCCGTGCCCTTACGGAGCGCTCGCTGTGTACTTTCCTGAGGTCGGACTAAGCACCGGGCGGACGGGCCGCTCACGTGCCACTGCCCAGGCAGCCCCGCCCGAGAGCAGGCCCTCAGCCAGCCAGCGGCTTGCGAAGCTCCCCCTGTGCGCCTGTCCCCTGCAAAGCTGGGAAGGGAAGGAAGCCTCAGGTGCCAACCCCAGGCTAACTGGGGAGTCGGGACCCCCAGAGACAGATCTAGCGACAGAGCAGCAGAGCTGGGAGTGAGGGGAGGGGGGCTCAGAAGAGTGAGTGGGGGCAGAACCCCAAACAAGTCATTTCTGGGCTCTATGCCTCCATCCCCCCATCTGTTAAACGGGCGCGAAGTCTCACTCGGAGGGTTAAATGAGATAATACGAGGAAATGGCTCCTTTAGCACAATAGCAGGCAGATACCAGGCACTAGGCAAGGGCTGGCTAAGAACATCATTATTTTTGAGATCTTGGCGTTCTCGGTTCGCAGGCTGCCCCCAGCTTGTGGGAGGCCGGTGGGGTTAAACTCGGGGAGCCGGGGGCGCAGGCGTGTGGAAACCAGGAAAGGGAGGTTCTCTGCCGAGACAGGGCCGAGCGTGGAGAAGGGGCCCCGGCGCACAGGTCCCGTCTGGGCCCTGCGCCGAGGGCAGTGCCAGCTCAGTCCAGCCTCCAGGAGCTCCGGGTGGGCGGCTCCTTGAAGGCGATGGAGGGGCGGTGGGGGGCCCGGGCGGGGGCCGCGGCAGGCGCCCCCTCCCCGCCCCCGCCGCTGTCCTCATCGCCCCGCCAGGCCAGGGCCAGCTCCTCCAGATCCTCGCCCTCCAGGCTCGGGCGCAGCTCCCGGGGGGCGTCCTCCTGGTCCGGCTTCGGGCCAAAGGCCCAGTCTGCGCGGGAGCTGGTGAGGAGCAGCCCCAGCCCTGCCCCCCAACCCACAGAGGCCCCTGCCGCCCCAGTCCCCGCCCACCCTCCTGCCCTCCCTGACTGGGGGGCCCTGACACCCGCCCCTCGGGGACCCCGGGACCCAGTCTAGCCTAGGCCGGCTCCTGGCGGGCTGGACTCACCGGCCAGGTCGTGGGCCAGGTCCTTGATGAGATGGCCCACGATGGCATAGGCCACGGCCACCACCAGCAGCGCCGCCAGCAGCAGGTACAGCGCGTACCGGGGCAGGCGGATGGCGTCCAGGGGCGGCGGGCGGTACTCCTCGTACAGCGGAGGGGCCCGGGGCCCGCTCTCGGCCCCCGCCTCACCCGCCAGCCCGGGCATGGCGGCCGCCGGGGCAGGAGAGGCCGGAGGCGGCCGGCACGGCGGAAGTCTTAAGGGGATTTGGGTGAGAGGATTGGGGCTTCCCTCTGGCCACCATCTGCCCGGGTGAGTCACATCGCAAATCACTTCTGCCCACTGCCCCCTCCCTCGCTCAGCTCCAGGCACACCCGCGGCTGCCCTGCACGCCGCTACCTCAGGGCCTTTGCACAGGCTGTCCCTCTCCTGGGAAAAGCCCCGACATTCAGAGTGGGAAAAGGGACTGAGGAAAGCATACCCTCAGCGTAAGGGATGTATCAGGTGAGAAAATGCAGAGTGGTAGTGGAGGCGGAGGGGCTGGTACTGCTGGGAGGGAGTTCAGGTTTAAAATAGGGCTGCCACCAAAACCGGTTTGGCTCAGTGGATAGAGTGTCAACCTGTGGACTGAAAGGTCCCAGGTTCGATTCTGGTCAAGGGCATGTACCTTGGTTGTGGGCACATCCCCAGTAGGAGGTGTGCAAGAGGCAGCTGATGGATGATTCTCTCTCATCCATGCTTCTCTCTATCCCTCTCTCTTCCTCTCTGTAAAAAAATCAATAAAATATATTTTTAAAATAAATAAATAAAATAGGGCTGCCAAGGCCATTCCGAGATGACACTGGAGCAGAGGCTCAGAGCAGTAAGGGAACCAGCCACGGGAGAACCAGGGGAAAGCGTTCTAGGCCGAGAACAGCCTGAGCAAAAGTCGCTGCACGGTGCCTGCGTGCTGGAGGAATAGTGAGGCCGTGTGGCTGGAGCGGAGTGAGCGAGGAGAGAGGTGAGAGCAGGCGGGGACCGGGCAGGTTGTGCGGGGCTTTGTGGGCCTCAGAGGGGATTTGGGTTCTCCCCACTACATCCCCAGGGAGTGGGCGCCTTGGAGGACTGTGGGCAGAGAAGAAACCTGACTCGGGAGCTCAATGGCGCCCTCTGGTGGCCGACCAGAGCCAGGGTAACAGCTGGTACAAGGTGGCGATGATGAGGCTGGACCTGGGAGAGGAAGGAGAGAAGTGTGCAGGTCTGGGATAGGTTTTTAATTGGTCACACCTGAATGCTTTTAGGCTGACCACCTACAATGCTGGCGTGTCCATTTCCGGTGGGAGAAGCAGCTTTGGAGGTACTAAGAGGAAATGTGAGGACGTACTGGGTTTGAGGTGCTTCAAGAGGAGATGTGGAGGGGCAGCGGGGCCCGAGTGTGGAGCTCAGAGGAGCCCCGGGCAGAGACAGGACTCAGCACAGATGAGGTTAGATCCCCTACAGACAGTGGACAGGCCACCCAGGAGGACCAGCCCTAGGCAACGAGGGAGAGAGGGGGCAGGAGCTGGGCAAATGCAGGGTCCCGGGAAGAGGGGGTGCCTGTGACAGAGCTCATAAGAAACGTGTATTTGTCTTTGTCCAGGTTCCTGGCATCAAGTCCCTAAAACCCTGTCATTTCCCTGCGTGTTTGGTTTTTAATGAATGCTGCCTTCTTTTAACGATTTCAGAGATAGGGAGGAAGAGGGAGAGGGAGAGACACGTGAGAGAGACACATCCATACCGGGGCCAAGGATCAAGCCCGCAACCGAGGTGCACGCCCTTGGCCGGAATAGAAATCGGGACTCTTCGTCCACGGGCTGACGCTTCAACCTCTGAACTAAATGGGCTACGGCCCTTCATGCTTTTTAAAATATATATTTTTATTGTTTTCAGCGAGAGGAAAGGAGAGGGAGAGATCGAAACATCAGTGATTGAGCCTGGGGATTGAGCCTGCACTCCAATCAAACTGTGACCCCCTGGTTCACAGATCCATGTTCAACCTCTGAACCATACCAGCCAGGCCTTTGTGCCTTTTTCCCCCCTAAATATATTTTTATTGATTTCAGAGAGAAGGGGAGAGGGAGATAGAAACATCAGTGATGAGAACACTGGGGATGGAGCCCCCAACCCGGGCATGTGCCCTTGACTGGAACTGAACCTGGGACCCTTCAGTCTGCAGGCCAACGCTCTATCCATTGAGCCAAACCAGCTAGGGCCCTTTGTGCTTTGTAATCCATCCCTCCCATTAAAACTGAGATGAGCTGGGAGGGGAAAACCAACCGTGGGTGAGGAAACTCAGCTCCACCCGCCACCCCGCCTGCATCAGCGCGCAGAGATTTCACCAAGTGCCAAAGTGATGCTCTCCATACAGACCACAATGCAGGGACCTGGGAGCTCCATGTGCCAGGAGATGGTGTGCCGGTTCCAGGGGACAGAAGCTCCTGTGCTCGGGGCCCTCTGGACCCAGCCCTGCGTCTCTCCGTCTGTCCTCACCATAAATGGGTAAGCAAAGCCCTTTCCGAGTTCTGGCAGCTCTCCTAGCAGACCCCCAAATGTGAGCAGGGTGGTGAGAACCCCGTGGGTCAAAGGTACAGGAGGACCGTTCAAAGTGGTGGCGTCTGTGCTCATTCCGGGTCATCAGTGTCAGGACTGAATTGCAGGACACCCAGCTGGTGTCTGCAGAGAAACGGAAAATTGCTTGCTGTGGAAAATTCACACATTTGGTGCCAGAAGAGTTGTGAGCAGAAGAGGTTGTAAAAAATGGGTCATGGTTGTGCCCACACCTCCTGGCACCCGTGCCCTCATGGAATCCCCTCCCCCCGCATCAGGGTTGTTTGTTGTTAACCCATAGGAAGCAGTAAGTGGGAAACCTGGTTAGGCTCATCACAAAATAGTAAATGGGCGGCTGAAGGCTGCACCTGGAAGAAGGGGGAGAGGAGGCCCTGGAATGGCAGGCCACAGCCCAAGCTCTGAGCCACACCACAGAACCCCTTCCCCATTCCCCCATGGGGCCCGGGGAGGGGCAGGCTGGAGGGCTGAGGGACAGATACCCTGCCAGGGACGGGAGGTGAGGCGGGGACACAGTCCTGCACTGGTCACGTCTAGCACAGGCAGATGGCAGAGCTGAGTTCTCCAAATGCCCCACCCCCACCCCCACCCCCACTTAGATGTTCCTTAAGAGTAGCCAACATAAGCCCCACAGCCTCCCAACACACACAGTAATTGCTTGGCAAAAATAATTTAATATTCCACTGAAGCAGTGGCAGGGGAAGCTCATAACAGGCCCTGCTTGTCACCTGGCCCAAGTCCCTAGCCCAGCCCACCCAGGGCTCCAGGTGGGGAGTCAGAGGCCCAGACCCTGCCCAGGCCCCCTGAGCACAGATTTCCCCACATCCCTTTCTCTGCACCCCCTCATTCCTGAGAAACCGGGGGGTGCAACCTCCCCAGAGCACAGCCTCACCCCTGCCCCCCACCCCCACCCCAGATCCCCCCTCCCGTGCTGACATCCCACAGCACACTGCAGCCCGGGGCGGGCCCCTCAGTAGGGACCGCAGAGACCTCAGCCTGGTCCTGGAGTAACCAAGACGCAGAAGCTGCTGAGATCGGCCGGGGAGCAGGTCAGGGAGCCAGGGGATTCACCCGAACCCACTGACATCCGAGTCCTCGGGGCAGCAGCTCTAGGAGGAGGGCGAGCGCAGCTGCTCCAGCCCGTCGGCGTACTGGAAGGCCGGCCCGCTCTCGTACGCGTACATGTCCAGGGCCACCTCGCAGCTCTCCCGCACCACGCGCTCGGGGTCGGCCGCGTGGGCCCGCAGGGCGGCCAGGCAGGGGGGGCGGGCGATGGCCCCCAGGGCCTCGGCGCACTCGTGCCGCACCATGGGGCTCTCGGTCCTCCGGGCCAGGGCGGCGGCCAGCTGGGGCACGGCCGCCTCGTGCTGCAGCTGGCCCAGGACGTAGCCGATCTCGTGGCGGAAGAGGGCGCTGCGGCAGCGGAGGCCTGTGGAGGGCGCGGGAGCAGAGGAGTCAGCAGTGCAGCGCCGCCAGGGAAGCTGAGGACGGGGACGGGGGCTGGGCACCCAGGGGCAGAGACGAGTCATAACAGGAAGGCATTAAGGCTGCGAGAGCCAGGTTGCTGAGGGTCTACTCTGCTGACTGGGTGTGACCTCAGGCCAGTCTCCTTGCCTCTACGATTGCCCCCCCACCTCTGAGCAGGAGTTGATTTGTGTGAAGACCGTGGGGAAGGGCCGGGCGGGGCCCAGGGTGCTGGTCCCCAGGACAGGTGGTTCCACGTCACAGATGCAGCCGCTAAGCCTCACCCAGGGCCCCCTCACCCTCAGCCAGGGCCAGGGCGGCCTCCTCGCCACCGGCATCCCGGAGGGCGAACATGGCTCGGTAGCGGTCGAACAGCGGCAGGGCTTCATCCAGGAGCGCCTCCCGCAGCCGCCCCACGTCGCGCTCCTGGGCCGGAGGGGCCGGGTCCACCGAGAGGTAGGGCCCTGGCGCCGCCGGCTCCCCGCCCTGCTGCTGCAGCCACTCCAGCCGACAGACGGCCAGCTGGCACGTCTCGGCCACCTGCGGAGGAAGGGGACAGGGTGGTGGCCTTGGGGGTCGTTAGGGGGTGATAAGGGAGACAGAGCAGGGAAAGCTCAGTGTGGTGGTGACATCAGAACCAAGTGAGGATGGAGGCAGGTGGAAAGAGCCAGCGCAGAGGCCCTGAGGCGGACCTGCCGGACCTGCCAGGGGAGCTAACCACAAAGGTGACCTCCCTCCCGGTGGTCCGAACAGACCATGGGCGTGTGGGCCACAGTGAGGACTTGTGATTTTATCCTAAAGGTGAGGCGTAGCCATGAGAGAGACGGACAACAAGGTGCCAGAGGTGAGGACAGCTCCACAGCGACTCAAGGCCCAGGGCAGGGTGGGTTTTGATGGAAATGTTGTTTTGCCCATATTGGGAGCAGCCTGCACCCATCCTGACTGCCGCCTCTCTCCAGAATCCCCATGGCAAACAGACCCAGGCCTGGGGCCGGTCCAGGCGAGGGCGGGAGGGGAGGCCTGTCCGAGTTACCTCGACCACAGGATCGGAGGAGTACTGCTTCAGGATCTCCAGGACTTCTGGGTCCCCGATGGCGCCCAAAGCCTCCCCTGAGAAGAACCAGGCAGAGAGAGTTCGTGTTGATTAGAAAGGACTTGGACACCTCAGGGGAAGCTCACAACAGGCCCTCAAAAATGTTTGTCCAATGAATGGAATGAACAGATGAAAAAGGGGTTGAGCCGAAATCGGTTTGGCTCAGTGGATGGAGCGGAGGTCTTGGACTGAAAGGTCCCAGGTTCGATTCCGGTCAAGGGCATGTACCTTGGTTGCAGGCACATCCCCAGTGGGGGGTGTGCAGGAGGCAGCTGATCTATGTTTCTCTCTCATCGATGTTTCTAGCTCTCTATCCCTTTCTCTTCCTCTCTGTAAAAAATCAATAAAATATTTTTTTTTTAAAGAGAAGAAAAAGGGGTTGGCAATCTACAGCCCACTGTCTGTTTTTATATGCACATAGAATGGCTTTTATAATTAAAAAATATTTTGTTCTTAATCCTCACCCGAGGATATGTTTTTCATTGATTCTAAAGAGAGAGAAAAGGAGAGAGAGAAATATCGATGTGAGAAACATCCATCAGTGGCCTCATGCACTTGCCCCAACTGGGGATCAAAACTGCAATGGTATATGTACACAGATAGTAATTTTAAAAAAATTTTTAAATTAAAAAAACTGCAACCTGGGCATGCGCCCTGGCCCGAACCCACAACCCTTTGGTACTCAGGATGGTGCTCTAATCACTGAGAATACCAGCCGGGGGGGTGGGGGGGGGGGAGAAGCTTTTTAAATTACAGGATAATATTCATGGCACATGAAAATTACATGAAATTCAAATCTCAGCACCGCGTGGTCCCACCCACCTGGTGACTCTGGCTTATGGTGGCTCTTATGCTAGAGGGTAGAATGAGTTGTGGGACAGCCTGTCTGCCAGTGGGCGAACACACTTACTACCTGCCCTTGGCGGCGTGTGCCGAGCCCGGCCTGCACCGTGCATGGGTGAGAGGCAGAGGGCCGGCCCTCACCTCACACTCACCGGCCTCGTGGCGCACCATGGGCTCCTGGCGGGCGTCGCGCAGCACGTCCACCAGCACGGGGATGGCGCGGCGGTCCTGCATCTGGCCCAGGCAGTAGGCCAGCTCGTGCTTGAGCAGGGCCGAGTCATCGCTGAAGGCCCGGCTGATCCAGGCGATGGCGTCCGGGCCGCCCAGCCCCCGGAGCGTGAAGAGGGCCCGGAAGCGGGCCTGCAGGGGCTGCTGGGGGTCCCCTAGCGTCCTCCCGATGGCCTCCACCTCCTGCTCCGTCACCATGGTGCTCACCTTCTTCCTCCGGCTCCTCTCGGGCACGAGAACCTTAACACAATAACCCAGAGGCCAGGTTAGAGGCGTCCTTCTGCTCATGACTTCACTTGTTCAATTCATCTAGAGCCTGGCCAAGCGGCTCCTCCTGCCGTCCAGCCTGGGTATCTAGGCTGCAGGCCTGGCTCTGGCCCCGCCTACTCACTGTGTGGCCCTCCCCAGGTTACTTTCCCTCTCTGGGCCCTTGGCCTATAGTCAGCAATTACCTCGAGGGTCTGCTCTCCACACAGCAGCCAGAGGCTGTGGTAGCTGGTCCCCAATTTAGCTCCCCCGGACCCCCACCTCCTGGTATCAGTGCTCAGGGTGCCCCTCCCACAGTGACTAGGATGACCTGTGTAAACAGCAGGGTGTGGAAGAAATGACAGTGTGGCTTACGAGGGTAGGTCGTAAGAAACACTGTGTAATCTGTCCCACAGCACAGGTGACTGATACAGGAATCCTTTGCCATAGAAACCAAACACGAGGCTCCTTTGCAAAACCCTCCCGTTGCCTTATTGCTCCAAACTCCGTGGGAGTCCCAAAGGCCCCAGGCACCCTTCCCACCCTCACTTCCTCCCTTCCCTCCCCTCATTCCACTCCAGACAGGCCTCCGCCGGTTCCCCCAGCGAACCAGGGAAACTCCTGCCCAGGGCCTCTGCCCAGCTGTTCTCTCCCTCGGAAGCTCATTCCCAAGTGCCCCGCTCTCTTTCTCACTTCCTCGTCTCAGATGTTACCTCCTCAGAGAAGCCTTCGCTGATCACAACCTTCCCTTGTTCTACCTTCCTTGCAGCGCTTACCACTGGCAGCTACTGTGCTGCGTGTTTACTGGCTTAGCTGTCTGTGGTCCTTCTGAGGCCTCACTAGACGAGGAATGCTGAAAGCAGGGGTGCAGTCTCCTGTCCCTGCTGCACCCCAGTGCACAGGAGGCCCTCAGTAAGAATGGCCCTCACGGTAGCAGCAGCTGACACCCTCAGAGCATGTGTGTGTGTGCAGACACTTTTCTACGCCCTTTACAGTGATGAGCTCATTCAATCGTACCGTGACCAGAGGAGTCAGGGACTGGGCTGGTTACCATTCACAGGAGGGGAAGCGAGCACCGAGGTTAATGGCTTGCTTAGAAACTACGGGAAAGCTATAAACCCAGGCGACTGAGCTCCACACCAGACACTCTGCTGAGTGGATGAAATAAGAGGAAACGACGCGGCTGAGGCTGGAAGGAGGTTCCCCTCTCCTCCTCCAGACCAACGAGGACCTGGAGGCCAGGTAATAAACGTGACAGGCAGCCCTTGCTGGTTTAGCTCAGTGGGTAGAGTGTCAGCCTGTGGACTGTAGGGTCCCGGGTTTGATTCCAGTCAAGGGCACATGCCCCAGCTGCTGGTTCAGTCCCTATTGGGGGGTGTGCAGGTGCCAGCGGGTCAATGATTCTCTCTCATCATTGATTCTATCTTTCTCTCCCTCTCCCTTCCTCTCTGAAATTCATAAAGATATATTAAAAAAAAAAAAAAAAAAAAAAAAAACATGACCAGCAGTGGTGGCAGGCCAGCAACCCTCTGCCGGTCCCCCCACCGCATCCCTCGCCCCTGGCCCCCAGCAGCGGCAGCAGGTTCCACCTGGGCCCCGTGAGGGCGGTGCAGCTGCATGAGCCCAGGTGACATCAAAGGGAGTGACTCCTGCATGAGGCACAGTCAAACCCACAGCCGCCAGGAGTGACTCCTGACAGGCCTTGGCAAGTCTGTGCCGGATGAACTGGACATCCACTGGCTGCCGGGGGCGCAACGAAGCAAGGTGTGCACGTCCGCATCCTCAGTAACTGAAAGAGGTTCGCTCACAGCCGCCCCAGCACGGCGCCCTCACTCCTCCCCTCCCGCCACCACCCCATCCTCCAGCAGCCTCTCCTCCAGCTCAGGACGGGGGCGGGGACAGCGACCCCCGGGAGCCCGCGGCTCCCACCGAGGCCCGTTAGCTTTCGGGGGGGGGACGGACGGGGGAGGCGAGGGGTTTCGGGGATCCGCCCCCAACCAAGGCAGAAAGTGGAATCACACACACACACACACACCCCCGTGATGGCCTCAGAGCCAGGCAGGATGAACAGGTAAGGGATGGAGGAAGAGGAGGCCTGGATCCTCGAAATCCCTTCCCTCCTAGACTCTACACCAAGAATTCTCAGCAAAAGACCTCCTTTAACTGGGCTTCCCCTCCCGGAGGGGTCGCCCCACGCCGGACCCCTTTCCTCGGAAGACTCCTAGGAGCCCGCTGCCCAGGACCTGTCCACGCGGGGCCCTCACCAGCTGGTTCTCGCAGGACCCCGAGGAAGGAGTCGCCGGACGTGGGTCCCCAGCCCAGGGATGCTCGGAGATAGGGACCCGGAACCCGGAAAGAAGAGCTCGCCGGACTCCAGGGGGAGGTGCCTCACCCCCCGAGCCAATGAACCCCGGAGCCGGGACCCCCCGCCCCCGCCCCATGAGGCATCCTGCCCGCGCCCGCCCGCCAGACCCGGGCCCCGCACCGAGCTCCCCGCCGCCGGTCACCCGAACGCGCTCTGGAAACGCACAGCTCGCCGCCGGTTCGCCGCCGCCGCCGCCGCCGCCTCACGGGGCGCAACGCGGACCGCAACGCGAGCTGCGTGCTCTGGGGGCCGCCATCTTGGAGCCCACGTGACCGGGCGGACCGCACCAACGCCGCGCGGGAAGGGGGAGGTGCCGTCCGAGGCTCCGCGGCGAGAGGACCCCGGAAGCGCGAGCAGGTGAGGCGCCGTGTCTCACACTTTCACAACAGGGAGCACCAAGAGTATTTCTCGGGGAAGGCGGAGCGCAACGCCCATCCTGTCCCCGGAAGAGAGCATGTAGAGCCGCCTCACCTGACACAACTGGAAATGGTTTGTGCCGATTCACCCGGGGCCGGGATGGGGGGAGGGAAAGAGGGAGAGGGGTGGTTAGTGACGGAGCATGCGCAGCCTCCGGGGGCGTGGTCAAAGCTCTAGGGCGTGGCCGAGACTGGGAATCCAAGGATTTAAGACCGGAGGCCGGGGAACGAAATCGGGCCCGGGTCGGGCCCCTCGGCCTGGCCCGGGTTCCGGCCCGCCGGCTGCGGAAGGGCCCGGGGAGAGTGGCTGGCCGCGGGGAGTTGGCGCACTGACCCCCGGGGGGCAGCTCCTCCCTTGAGCGTTGTCCCCTGGTGGTCAGTGCTTGTCATAGCGTCTCATCCACGGAACGGTGGTAAGGGTCGCTTAAGCTTAGGCTTTCATAGATATAGATTTCATTTAACCCTTAGGGGCTGAGAGCAAGGCAACCTGCAGGCTTTACCCTTGAGAAGCCACTGGTCTTGTCATAATCTGGGATACACAAACCCTGACTCAGGTGTTAAGAGGATGAGGCCGACCCCTGTGTGTGTAATAAAACCTGTTCAAGCAAAAAAAAATAAATTAAAAAAATGGATTGGCCCCGGCCAGTATTGCCAGATGGTTAAAGCATTGGCCAGTGCACAGAAGGGTCTCTGATTCGATTCCTGGTCAAGGGCATGTACCTGGGTTGCAAGTTTGATCCCCAGCCCCAGTTGAGGCACATGCAAGAGGCAACCAGTTAATGTGTCTCACATCAATATCTCTCTCTCTTCTCTCTCTCCCTCTCTCCCTCTCTCCCCCCTCTCTCTCTCCCTCTCCCTTCCACTCTCAAAAAAACAATAGAAAAAATATCCTCAGGTGAGGATTAACAAAAAAAATTTTTTTTTTTTATTAGCCCTGGCCAGGTAGCTTGGTTGCTCAATTAGATCATCCTTCAGATACGCCAAGGTTGTGGGTTCGATCCCCAGTCAGGGCACATTGTTTTACTTATTTATGAGTGCATAAATAAGTAAAACAATGAACTGATGTTTCTGTCTCTCTAAAATCAATCCGTTTTTAAAAATGAATAATGGATCAAATATGCCATCCTTAGCAACAAACTCACTTTGATGTGCCAACTACGGGTTTAAGACATTCAGTCATTCATGTCACAAATATTTATTAAGCACCTACTGTGTGGCAGACACTGTCCCAGGCATGGAGGACACAGAATGAAACACTGCCTCTGGCCTCATGAAGCTGACATTTTGATGACGACGATTTTGTTGTCTTCCCATGCAATCTAAAGGTGACCGCAGATAACTGACTTTGCAGCCGACGGCTGGCTGGCAAGTGCACCATCTCACCATGTTCTGTGGCTCAGGCTCATGTTCACACCTATGTTGACAGCTACAGGGTCCGGAGTGCTGCTCTCGGGGAAGGAGATAGGGTCAGCTACAGGGTCCGGAGTGCTGCTCTCGGGGAAGGAGATAGGGCCAGGGGTGCAGGAAGCAGATATGGAGGCCACGCCCAAAGCAAGGTCTGTGTCTGTCAGGGAACTTGGGACCTTGAGCCTTCGGACCTGTGAGAGCCTGATAGCAGGAGAGAAACTTTGCACCTTCCCGCACCTTCTGTTCCAGGCCCCTCTCCACTTGAGCAAGGCCGTGGAGGCCAGGAATCCCAACTCGAGGTGCCGGCAGGGCCGTGCTCCCTCTGAAGGCTCCAGAGGAGGGTCCTTCCTGACTCTCCCAGCTTTTGGTGATGGCTGGCTATCCTTGGCTTGTAAATGCATTGCTGTAGTCTCTGCCTCGTGTTCCTGTCACTGTCTCCCTGTGAGTGTCCCACATTTCCCTCTTCCTATAAGGACACCAGTCACTGGATGGGGGGCTCACCTTAACTCCATGATGATCTCGCCTTAGTTTGGTTTCATCTGCAAAGACCCAGTTTCCAAATAAGGTCTCATTTCCAGGGATCAGGGATCAGGGATCAGGATGTGGACATGTCATTGTGGGGGACACAGTGGAACCCACCACACCTGTAGTTCGCTGATCTCAGCGCCTGGGCGGAGGGAGAGACTTCTCGGGGTTCTGGTCCCCTGTTTTCTCTCTCTGCACCCAGTGCAGAGCCAGGAACAATTTATCGAATGTTTACTGGG